ACAAGGCCGTAAGATTATGCGGGATGAACCGTTACGGAATCGGTGCTGAAATATGCAAACGCGTCTGGTCGGGAAGAGAAAAAAATTAAGCGCAAAACCGTCAGCAAATCTAAAACCTTAGACCCTTTCACCACAGCCCACTTTTGGAAACCTCAGGAAAACTTCGAATTCTTTTTTCAAGCCTTCAAAAATTGCATCAAAACGTAAACAAACTAAAAACAAGCTACCGCTCACGAAAAATGCTTTTCACAAAATCACTAGTTTTGACCGCTCTGGTACTATTTTCTCAATTCAGGCAAAAAGGGGGTTCTGCACATACTTCCATACAGTCCAGAAATAACAATGTTAAGCGTATGAATGTGCATTCAGGTTTTATTTGAAATCTCATAGTGAATGGAACCGTTTACTTGCAGAACAAACCTTCCCAAGGAGCTTATGATGTACCCAGGCCTACCGATTATGGAGGGTGGAAAAACGTCTTTCATCAAACATGAAGAAGTCCTCCAATACTTAAATCGATACGCTGCAACTTATGACTTGCATAAATGTATTCAGGTAAGCCAGTGATTAGGATTTAAGATATTTGTTGTGTGAAAATGGAGAAAAGAAAACCCAGTGTGCTCTTGTCTTTGAACATTTTCAGAACTTCATTCAAAGCAGCTATGGTGTTACATAATACAGAGAAATTTCCTGTTTTAAGCCTGAACTTAAGTTTGCTCATAGTCTCGGATATCATAGGATAATGGGGCATGCAGGTGAATCTGTCATGGGACACGCAGGTGAATCTGTCATGGGACATGCAGATGAATGTGTCATGGGACACGCAGGTGAATCGGTCATGGGACATGCAGATGAATGTGTCCTGGGACATGCAGGCTCTGGAGACTGCTTTCAAATGTTATAGGTCAGTAATCCGTGTTGCAGTTTGCGATTCTATTAAACGATGTTGCGCTTCATTCGTATAAGACCTTGGGTGCTTCCATTGTTTTACTGTTGACTAGTACGGGTGTATTTAGCGAGCTAAACGTATCAATCAACTTGAATCTGTGTAACGTAAAACCAATCGTATGATATTGCGCTAGGGGTATTTGGAACAGTCGTATGATGACTGAATGAGATCTCTGGGGTTTCCCGTTAAAAGAAGGGGTGATCTTATGATTAACTGTACGACATGTCGCTATTTTAACATTTCACCACGACAAAGCTTGTACCGAACCGTACAAACATTGCGGGGTTTCGAGCTTGATGGACGGGTTAGAAAGGGTCTTGTCAAGGAATCTTTCAAATGTGTTCAGAGCTCGTTTGTGGGAGAGGTTTGTGGTTTGCTGATTTTTAACCCTAACCGTCCTCAATCCAGTTTGCATGCACCCTGGGAAGTTGGAGTTTATGTTTGTTTTATTGTTATTTTAATTTTAACTACGGTTTTATCATTTTACCCCGATTACTTTTCCCTTTGTTCGCGGTTTCATTTGTTGTTTTAGTCTTTGAATTTTTATCCAATTATTGTAATCAGTGGGTAAGCACATCGTTTAATGACAGTTTTTGACTTTTGCTTATTCCTCGACAGCCACTGATTTCATTTTTGGTTTTATTTTGATGTCTAAAGATTTAAATAAATAGATAAATCAGATCTAGCAAAAATGCACCATTAATGATGATGGAAGATCTTAAAAGACTGGAAAGTAGAGCTCCTATAGTATTCATGGGGTTTGATTCTGGGTTTAAGCGACAGAGGGCCTCAGATGTTCTGCTTGCCTTCGCGGAATTTTATATAATGAGNCAGGTGAATCTGTCATGGGATATGCAGATCAATATGTCATGGGATATGCAGGTGAATCTGTCATGGGACACGCAGGTGAATCTGTCATGCAGGTGAATCTGTCATGGGACATGCAGGCTCTGGAGACTGCTTTCAAATGTTATAGGTCAGTAATCCGTGTTGCAGTTTGTGATGTTGCGCTTCATTCGTATAAGACCTTTGGTGCTTCCATTGTTTCACTGTTCACTAGTACGGGTGGGTTTAGCGCGCTAAACATATCAATCAACTTGAAGCTGTGTAACGTAAAACCAATCGTATGATATTGCGCTAGGGGTATTTGGAACAGTCGTATGATGACTGAATGAGATCTCTGGGGTTTCCCGTTAAAGGAAGGGGTGATCTTATGATTGACTGTACGACATGTCGCTATTTTAACATTTCACCACGACAAAGCTTGTACCGAACCGTACAAACATTGCGGGGTTTCGAGCTTGATGGACGGGTTAGAAAGGGTCTTGTCAAGGAATCTTTCAAATGTGTTCAGAGCTCGTTTGTGGGAGAGGTTTGCGGTTTGCTGATTTTTAACCCTAACCGTCCTCAATCCAGTTTGCATGCACCCTGGGAAGTTGGAGTTTGTTTGTTTCATTGTTATTTGAAATTTAACTTTGGTTTTTATCATTTTACCCCGATTACTATTCACTTTTTTTTATCCGCTGTCTCGTTTGTTGTTTAAGTCTTTGAATTTTTATCCAATTATTGTAATCAATGGTTGTAAGCACATCGTTTAATGACAGTTTTTGACTTTTGCTCATTCCTCGACAGCCACTGATTTCATTTTTGGTTTTATTTTGATGTCTAAAGATTTAAATAAATAGATAAATCAGATTTAGCAAAAATGTACCATTAATGATGATGGTAGATCTTAAAAGACTGGAAAGTAGAGCTCCTATAGTATTCATGGGGTTTGATTCTGGGTTTAAACTACAGAGGGCCTTAGATGTTATGCTTGCCTTCGCGGAATTTTATTTAATGAANTTGGGAAGTACTCGGACTCTTGAGTCAGCAATTCTGCAGGGTATGTTTCCCATTTTAAACGTGAGTGTTCCGCATCTTCGGAGAGAGTGCTTCATAAAGCCAAGGGAGTTGGGTATTTGTGTTCCATAGCAATGGCTATGCATTTCACTCTTAGGAACAGGTAGTGCTTGTGAGAGATACTCCCCATGGAGTTTAAAGGGTTTAAGAAATGCTTAATGTATTACATTTGCCTCTCCCTGCATTACCACACCACTGACCACTCGAAGACCAAAGTACTCGCAGACATTTTGTTCAGCCTTCTTCTTGTACTCGTACATCTAGCTTCGGACAAGAGTCGAGTTTGTGAAGCCAATCGTCAGCTGTCACAAAACAACTTGGGAAGTGACTGTGAGGAATGTAGAGGACCCTGACGCCACGCCACAGGTCCTTGAATTTGATGCTGTAATGGTCTGCAACGGGTAAGTGCCTGGGGTAAAGGGCCTGCCGCATCGTTAATCAGCACAAGTGTGGACCCAACTCCCTGTAAAAGGTTCATCTCTTTAGTTTTAACTTTTGAATGGAGGGCTCTGGTAGATATCATTCAAAAGAAAGAACTGTAAAATGGAACCTTAAACAGCATGCAATGTTTTACCTTTCTTGAGAAAGACGTGACCTTTGTGACACAAAATATTAAGGCCTCAAAAGTAGATTATAGAAAGTGATATTCAAGTGGGCAAGCAAATTCAGGAATGAAGTTCTCGACATTTCTAAAGTGACTTTATTTTCATTACGTGTTTAATGAAACTTTTTTGTGCATACGTGATTGATTTTCTTCACAGTCAGTTTGCAGTGCCAAATTACCCAGTTATACCTGGCCTGGAGACGTTCAAGGGGAAAGTCATTCACAGTCACGAATATCGCCATCCAGAGGATTTCAAGGGTCAGTCTGTGGTGGTTCTTGGTGGTGGACTCTCTGGTTGTGACATCAGTGTAGATCTCCATTCCTACGTGAACAAAATTTACCTTAGCCACCACAACTCGAATCTGACGAGAACCGTGCTTCCCAGTAATTTGAAACAGGTTCCAGATGTGGCGTTGATAGAGGAGGGCCGCTTCGTGTTCGCCGATGGGCAGCGCGTGGAGGCAGACTCGCTGATTTTGAGCACCGGCTACCTCTACGACTTCCCATTCCTGGCGCCAGAGTGCGAAGTCGTCGTGGACAGGAAACGGATATCGCCGCTCTACAAGCACGTCCTGCACACCAAGTTCACATCGCTGTCGTTCATGGGGATGGTATGGTCCATCTGTCCTTTCCACGTGATCAGCAGCCAAGTGCGTTTTGCCATGGCTGTGTTGGATGGCACAGTGACCTTACCCAGCACCGCTGACATGAACTCGGACTCACAGCGAGATTACGAGTATCGTCGCAATGAGCTGAAGTTCCCTCACCATTACGCTCACAAGCTGGGTCCAATGCAGTTTCATTACAATAAGGAACTTTTACAAATGGCCAAGGTAGATGAGGATGACGATGCAGTTAAACCCATTTTTGAGGAGCTCTATCATAAAACCCATGACTTGCGACTAGAGGACATGGCCAACTATAAGACACACATATTTGAGCTTTCTGATGACTTGAAAAGCTGGGAAATGAAGTAGTATTAATAAAACGTTTTCTGTGTTAACCGAAAGATCACCTTGTGAGATCAGTGCGGAAGAACCCCGGGGCTCTGAGAGCATCTTAGATCACCGTTATAGCAACATATCCTACTTTACAGTAGAAGTTATGCGTTGGTAGTGTGTCAGAGGCTGTTCTTTGTTTTTTTATTGTCGTTACAATCAACAAAGAAAGACCCTCTAACAAAGCATCAGGTCTATACGCTTTACAGTTTGCTTGCATCCAAAAGAAAATTACCCATGGTAGTTATTTTCGAGGAATATTGGCGGGTTTACGAGTCACACATTGAAACATGACGCTACTGCTGTTTTTCTTTGATGTTCTGGGGTCAGGAGTCACGAGTTTTAATTTCATTTGTATAAATAAATGAAATAAACATGTTATAACTTAATATTATTACCTTTGAACATTCGTTGATGTAACATACTAATAATTGCTGTCAACATAAACTGTAACACCTTTTGGGCTCGTTTGACGAGTTACTAAAACCAACTTGAACATTTTCCTTGTAATAGGGCCAATAGGCCTTTCTTAATGCTATTCTATACGATTATTCTTATTTTATTTCTGAAAGAAATAGAACGAATGCTTTCAAGACCCTCGACATCTCAGTTTCCTTATTGGATTATCAAAACCCATCAAACTGATTTGTGGTTTTAATATCCTGCCCCTTACAGACGGCAACCCTAATTTTCTGTTATGTGAGTGCCACTCTCTCACTCACTCACTCACTCACTCACTCACTCACTCACTCACTCACTCACTCACTCACCATACCTCGATTCGTATTTAATCGTGCGACTGATAAGTCCTTGAAAGGACGGAAATGCTTTGCTTGGGTAACCATGGCACTGATTCAACATAAGTCATTTCCTCCTCATTATCTCTACCCTCTCGAGACTCCATTCCAGCCTCTATGTAGAAATAAAGCGGACAAAGACACACCTCTGAATTTACTTTTGCCTCAGAAGTATAGTGTACCCAAGTTTATTTGCACATCGGACAATCTCTATTCCATCCCATGCCCTTAACATTTCTTGGATAAACCATACACTTTAATGCTATTTATACGATTATTCTCATCATTTTATTTTAAACGAAATAAAATGAATGCTTTCGAGACCTCTAAAACAGCATCAAATTTTCTGCGTGGAGAATTTATTAAAGTCTACTTAAAGTCTACTGAACTTAAGCAAATGAAATATTTAACGCAATCAGTGAAAATGCAACATAAACGTTGAACGGCATGCAAAATTATTTCGATATTTGCAATGTAGTAACTGTCTATCTGAATCAGAGATACTTTTTTATTTAGCGTTCCATTCTCAAGTAGAAAAAATGGCACGAAAAAGGATTGACTGTTATTTTAGGACTTACTGACGTGCAGTATAGGACAAGTCAGTAGTGCACAAACAAAATGAAATACATGTATTACGATTCAACAATCGTCTTTATCAGGAAGCAGATCAAAAAGTTCTCAGTAATTTTATCAAAATTCACATTGCATAAAAGATTCAGTATTATTCCGATACACTACAACTTAAACATTCCTGGCCCATTTTTAACGAAGAGTCCTGAGCATATCCTTACATCTTAGGCACGCCCATTACTTCGAATCATAATGCCGCATTAATTTGTTGACCTATAGACATTAGTATGGAATTCCATATCTGCCGTCATCTGTCGTGCGTCGCCCGTCGAACGTCAATTTTTTTGTTTGGATATTGCAATAGAAATAGCATTGCTTATGTTTGGTGTTTTAAGTTTTTAAAAACATGTTCTCAAGATTGATATTGTTCTTATGTAACACGCTCCTTGCACTCTCATCTTACTCCATTCCAAGGTTGACCTCTTATGTCTGTTTTTCTTCTTTACTTTCAAGAGAATTCCACCAGACTGAAGCGTACTATCTAATATGGAATGGTATAGTTTACACCACATACTGCAATGTGGATGTTATACTTTTCACTCTTACCTCTAAACATGGCATAAGGTATGCAATGTTTCGTCACTTGGACAATTCCTTCTTAGGTTTCTTTGTTGCAGGAGTCTGTGAAGGGTTGTAAGGCTTGGGAGAAACCCCCAAACCAAAACCAAACAAAGGTCCTCCTATGGGGATTTTACATTGGGCCGTCCTATCACGTTCGTATGGTGTACTATTTACGACAAACATTTCTCTCTCTCTCTCTCTCTAGCCTCCCTCCAGGCGACGCAACTACACGACGCGACGGCACGACGGCTCCCTTACGTGGTGCCGTCGGGTCGCACCGTCACCTTCTTGTCATTACGTTTGTACACACGCGTCACGTCGTGCCATCGCCCGTCCATCGTGCTGTCTTAGATCCTTTCCATGTTGCATTTTTTTCGCCTAAACGTCGCCCCTTCCGTCGCCCGTCACGTCGTACCGTTGTGCGTTGCGTCGTGCATCGCGTCGCCTATACTCGTGAGAAGCACGACGCGACGCACGACACGACGCACGACGCGTCGTGGGCTGTCGCCCTTTGCTTGAAGGTGTTTATAGAGGGCGCCTATACTGCTTTCTTTCATTTCCGTCCTTCGGGCTTGCAAAGTACATGTAACTCGTTCTTTGGTGTTGATTTTTCCTTGTTTTTATCTCGTCCATTCATCAATTAGAATTAGTTTTTTGTCATTTTTATTGAGAAAAATGAAAAAAGAGCAAATAGAAAATCTGCGTGTGGAATGTCCTTATGGAATGTCCGTCCAATTTCTTTTTAAGACCGTTGATGAAGTTCCATTTGTGGTAGATTTGTAACCTGTAAATATTTCTCTGTGGTCCAAGCCAGCNTCTCTCTCTCTCTCTCTCTCTCTCTCTCTCTCTCTCTCTCTCTCTCTCTCTCTCCCTCTCTCTCTCTCTCTCTCTCTCTTTCCTACCTCCAGGCGACGCAACTACACGACGCGGCGGCACGACGGCTCCCTTACGTGGTGCCGTCGGGTCGCACCGTCACCTTCTTGTCATTACGTTTGTACACACGCGTCGCGTCGTGCCGTCGCCCGTCCGTCGTGCTGTCTTAGATCCTTTCCATGTTGCATTTTTTTCGCCTAAACGTCGCCCCTTCCGTCACCCGTCACGTCGTACGTCGCGTCGTGCATCGCGTCGCCTATACTCGTCAGAAGCACGACGCACGACACGACGCACGACGCGTCGTGTGCTGTCGCCCTTTGCTTCAAGGTGTTTATAGAGGGCGCCTATACTCCTTTCTTTCATTTCCGTCCTTCGGGCTTGCAAAGTACATGTAACTCGTTCTTTGGTGTTGATTTTTCCTTGTTTTTATCTCGTCCATTCATCAATTAGAATTAGTTTTTTGTCATTTTTATTGAGAAAAATGAAAAAAGAGCAAGTAGAAAATCTGCGTATGGAATGTCCGTATGGAATGTCCGTCCAATTTCTTATTAACACCGTTGATGAAGTTCCATTTGTGGTAGATTTGTAACCTATAAATATTTCTCTGTGGTCCAAGCCAGGAAGTTCCAAGGAGTACTCCCATCCCTTCGGACAATTCGTCTACGACAGCAAGGAGGACCGCAAGTTTGACCACGGGATTAGGCAGTTTCCACCCAGTCTGCACTATATTGTTATTCCGTCTTCATTCTTCCTTCGATTCAGTCTTCCTCGTTAACTTCATCAGCACTACAGTTTCAATGAAATCAGTCCGTGTTTCTTAATAAAACGCTGTAGATAGATCCTACTTTCATTGAGACGGTGTCTTTTCTTCAACTTTGTTTGGCCACGCGCATAATTTCTCATCAGATCCGCATGTTACATTTTTGCAAGCACGTAATAATGATTGATGTATTGTATCTTAGAACGGATTTACAAATAATTATTAGAAAGATCAGAATTAGAATTTTTCGTTGGTAATCTGCATCTCTAAAACGTTTTCTACTGCATTATGGAAGTTGAATATTCATGACATCGTTGGTGCTTGATATGATCGGACAACATCAAATTTAGCGCAGTTGCTTTTATTAGGCTGTGTACCCGGAGTGTTCATGTGCAGTTATTGCCCTTATCGAACGCTTTTTTTCTGGACGTCTTTTGGAAATAAATAGCCAAGCTGTGTGTAAGATTTTGAGTTTTATTTCAATCATTTTTATGACGGAATTTACACAAAAAGGTATTTTATGAGATCTCATGGTCGCTCCCTGTGATGAAACAGCGCATTTTGTTTCTCGTGAACTTAACTGTCCTGGCAGCAAGCTTGACATGCAGCATCCCACGAAAAGGATTCAGGGAGCTGTTTGTAGTAGGAATCGCCCCATCTTTCTTCACCGGGCGGGCACAGCTCAGCGTGAACGCATGAAAACATAACAGCAACACATACTACCAAAGTAATCTCCACTGTCGCTAACTGAATTTGAAAAGATGCAGGATCGTTTAACTGGTTGTTTGCGTACAGTGAAATTTCGTTCAAGTGAACGACCTCTTTGCAGGATAAGGAAACCGGCTTCTATTGAGTGGTTGCTCGCAAGTGAAATTGCGTCCCTGATCACAATCTTGATGGTGTTACTTCCTCGCCGTTACATGTCACACATGATTGTGTTCCATTCCCAGACACCAATGCTCTTGTAAACATTCACTGTTGACGGCCTGCATTGACAAGAAAAAAAATACCCATGGCATCTTAAGGATACAGTAGCCACCAGGCTACAAGGAAAGGGTATCTGTTATATGGCAGTTTCTAAATGAAATATGAAAGAATTCCAGTCACGGTGAAAATAGAGATTCTTCTGAAGAAACTGAGAGACCTGATAAGAGCGCCAAATAGGATTTTGTTTGCAGAGACAAAAGGCTGCAGCGACAAGTGAATCCAAACCCTTCATGCAAAACAAGTCACAGCCTAACAAGCAACACAGTCCAAAGAAACCTATTCAACTAGCATCAAACAGGGAGAATAGGACAAAGATGAAAACAGATAAATGCAAAAATATCAGAATAATATTCTGATAAAGGTAGAGCCAGAACCAAACGTAAGGGGGCATTGGGGGTCAACAATTTGAGAAATTCTTTATGTTACCTTTTTAACCTTTTTGAGTACTGGGGTGAATGACGTGTTGGGGCGTTTTACCAGCTTTGATAACAGAATGAAAGGAAGTGGTAAAGTACTCACAAATCTGTACAACTCTCTAGTTTAAGACCAAAAAATAATCCCTTAATTGGGGCTCTAGTCTGTAGTGTATAGTTGAACAGTGCCCGCTGTTCCGATAATATTAGATGGCGAGTAACAAACTCCACCGTCCTCGTGCTTACACACCATGCACTCAGTCACATTTTAGCGACGAACATTTAAGTGGTCGAAGCCATTTAAGTCAACGATACATTGCATCCAGGTGTGGGTCACATTCCCTTTCAAAATACCACAAAATACTATAGGCTGAGGAAACAATCGGAAACGCAATGAAACAATAATATTCGCAATATCGTAACTCGTTAAGGTAAATGCCTTAACGTGAAAGCTAAACGACACTACGTATTGGCAGTGACACAGGCCCAATCAAACATTGTACCTTAAATCATGGCACCTATATTCCCTTTCCTGAAATTTGGCGTAGGCCTACATCAAGCTGCTAGTGCTAGTTGTTCAACGTGGAAGAAATGGCTGCAACGACTTGTGAGATTGAACCCTCTTGCCTTATAATGCTGGCAAGATCATCCGGTGGACGAGGTCTTTGAAATATTCGAAAATTTTCAAGGTGCGTACAAACATGGAACTACAGAGATCAAAAGGGTCAGTGATGGCCACCGCAAGCACTGCACGTGCTGCAAAGACAAAACAAATTACGCGGCGCTTACGGACTTTAAGGAATGCTAGGAGTTGCATTTGCAAAAGGATTGTGGGACTGCGCATGCGTGTCCGTAACACTTCCGCACGTTCAACATGGCCGCCATGAGACGGAAACCACCGTCATCGAAGACTTAAATTTCAATAATTTCAGTGATTGTTTTGTTATTCCAATGACAATGGAAGTCTGGTTACGTCTTTACATCCTCAAAAGGTCTCTCTTAACAATAAACAGAATTACTAATACAAATTCTCCAAAAATACGTAAAAGAAAACTGAAAGAATGTAGTTGGTCCAGAGGAAAGTAAAGAAACACACAAAAACATGGCAAGATTCGTTGTCCTTTCTGTCATTGTTCACAACTGTCTCGGCATGAAACCTCACCACGGTGTCAAATGCATTCTTTTGGCATGTTTCCACCTTCTTTTAACCGCAGGAACCACTAGGATTGCGTCTTATCATATATATATCGCAGTTCATAATTTGGGTATTTTGCAGCATACTGGAGTAAATAAATGGTGGAAAAGATGGACGAAGAAGATTCTAATATGGTCGAAGAGGGGAGAGCAGAATCTGCAAACCGTTACCACCCGTCATGGTGCCACTGGTAGAATCAGACGCAACAAACCAAATCCTGAGATATCCTTCAAACCCCCTCACCACAGACAGAGAGACGTATCTAAAAGTCGAAAAAAATCTCAGCCCCATCACTGATCACCACCAATAACCGACAGGTTTGCTGTTTCTATGGAGGAATACCATATTCCCTATGCCCTCATATATATTTACCCTCATGCTAGAAACTGCCAAGCAAGCGCGGGAATAAGTGTCGACATTACGAAAAACTGGACACTTTGATACCGTTCAGCTAAAGTTAGCACTATCGAACAAGACGACTCTGATGTTGACCAGGCCTACATCTTTGCAAACCACCATGACTCCGCGTATGTCATTCACTCTGCAAAGCTACCAACCTGCAAGATGACCATTGCATGGCCGGTTATCCCTCATTGGCAACACTAACTTGACCGCCATATTGTGAACATGCTCAACCTAAAGTAATGTGACCGAAAGTCCGAAAATCTTCTTTCAGAGTTTTCGCCTACGGAACGAAAGCCCCCCCCCTCACCTCTACGTGATGGTATAAATAAAACTTACGTCACCGTTGGTCCCAATACCTGATGTGCTGAGTTCCATGTAGTCAGTACTCAGGCTTGCAACCTGCTATCCTTCATAACTGCGAAACAACTGAAGTTTATCTTTTTCAACTGAGACCATGTGACTCGTAAACCAGCCAGGACCAGAACAGCCAGTGCAGACAGCAGTACGGTCGACGGCGTCATAAGCACGATGCAACACACAGTACAGTGACCTCTTTTTTTTTTGCATTGGAAAAATCAAACATGTCGAGATCCCTCTCTATATCGACCCTGAAGTCAAACCAAAGCAAGAAAAGCACCGTCGCACACTTTTCCACATTCAGAAATATGTTGAGCGAAATACAGCGATTGGAAGATGGTGATACCTTAGACAGAGTATCGATGGGTCCGGCCAATTCTTGTCGCACAGAAGCCTTCAGGTTGCAGGCCAATAAATAGGCCAAAAATTTCTTGCAAGTGCCAAATCACAATTTGTATGCACCTAAATTCTCTACGAAACAGAGCATTTTGTGGCCCATGAATTAACTTGAAGATTTGTAGAAAAGACAGGTTTAGGCGGGCAACGAGAATACCAGCTTGCTTCTGAGTGAGATTTGGGAGAAATCAGTGCCTGAAAACGGTCTATTTCTCGAGAAGTGTAGGCATCGATATTTCAAAATGGCGAGGGGCTTCACGACTGCATTTTAGGGGTGATCTTCCATGGAAATAAATATCTTCAAAAGCCTTTGGTTAATGAATGAAAATTTGAAAAGAAAACAAAAATCATTGACTGGGCTTTAATTTGACGTGAGTCTCGAAGGTCTGAAAAACTTGTGAGTATTTTTCCTGATTTTTTGAAGTTCGGGTATTATCATTATTGGCTATGACAGTTTGTTTGCTGGCCTGCAACCTATAAACCCAAGAAGGCGGCCTCCGTATCCAAGAGGGCGCCTTCCATGTCTGACGTGCGCGGAATGATCTGCAAATGTATCATCGTGACTGTAAAAGTTAATGAGATGGAGACTAATTTTTCTTTTTTTCGATCACGTCCGATTTCGCTGCTTTTTTTTTTGGATTTTGATTCATGCAGTCAGTGAACGGACAGTTTTGTTTTTGACAAATTCTGGCACTTACCCAAGTTGAGAAACCGCTCAGAAGTATCTTTTCTAATGCATGTGTGTTTTTTTCCTGAGGAATCTTTATTTTACTCTGAAAACGTATAATTGTTGATGAAATTCCCCTTTTTAAGTTAGCGCCACTTGAGCAAATTCCATCTCCAAGTTCTCACCCGATGGAGAGGGAAAACAACCACTGGGGTACCTGAAAACTTTTGGCCAATTCAAATATTTTCACAACACTGTGGATTATTGTGAAGCTTTTTAGAAATCTACTTGGTAGATTGCTCGTCCAAGAAAATCTGAGATCAGGAATATACACTGAAGCTGATGACGTCACTTACCTGGTGGCGATCAAGTCTTTCAATGTCACACAAAATGTTCAGTTTACAGCAAAGATGGAGACTAGCAAATGAACTCCAGTGAATCTATTATTTGATCGTATACGTTCGGATTTTTGTCGGATTGGAGTCGGATTCAACACTTGTGTCGGTTCCGGATCGGATTCGGATTGAACTATGAAGGCCCTCGGGTTATTGGGTCGGATTAGATCGGATCGAATCGGATCTTGAGCTGTGGCAGCACGTTGGATTCAGGGTTTCGTCAGGTGCTGATGAGCACATCACATCACATCACATCAACCAGCGGCAAACTTCAGAATGAATTTGCTTGAAATATTTAACGTTTCAATGCACGCGTAAGCATTAACAAAATGTACAGTATAGGCTGCGGACAGCTTTGTAAACGCCAAAGTAGACGCCAAAGTACTCATCAGCCGCAAACTAACATACCATTGACGACGAAAGCCACTTTCAATTTGTTTTGAAGCACAATGATGGTTTCCTCCTCTCCACCTTTTTCCTTTCATTTTCAACAAGTTTTATATTTTCTTCTTTTTCTCCGGGGGCCCCTTGTGACAACCATAATAACCGTGGAGTGAAGCTTTAAAACATGTAATTTGTCCGCCTTGTGTGACATGCCTAACTTGTGTATGAACAGGGACGTTAGCAGCACTGAAGTTTCCCGTACTACGTAATTGATCGATAAATATCGATTTCGTGAAGACCGTTTGGGACCCCAAAAATCGATGAAGGGAGGAAAGTAGGAACTGTATATAACATAGCAGAAAGGAATCAAAGAAATGTACCGTTATGTGGTAACCAAAACGTAGAGTCAAACCAGATAACCAGGGACTAGGAACTGGGGTGGACGCCATATTGGAAAGAGTTTCTATAAAATGCGAATTTGAGGAAAAATTGTCAACCTTTCGGCAGAAATGGAGTTTAAATCATTTCCTCTGTTGTTGGTAAGTTGCTGCATTCATTTTTTGTTTGCTTCTTGTCATAGTTGCATTCAATGACGTGTCTCCATCATTTAAAAAATATATTATGTCCAGTTTTCATTTTTGATATCTAAAAGAATCTAATTCTACATAAATTTTGCAACATTGGTTATGTAGGCTTCGGTAAAGACGCAAACAAAAACACTTCATTATTCCATCGGGCTATTTAATTTATTTTCTCTTTTGTATCCAAGAAATAACAGTATATTGATATTTGTAGCAGACATTTCACGTCATAAGATTGAATACATTTACTACCCAAACTGATTATGATTCTAATCAGTCTTCAGATCATTAAAGACATATAGTAAACTAGCTATTTGGGACTTTGATACCATTGGAAAACAGTAAGCTGAAGCTATGTAAAAATGGGGGAATTATGTGACGTTTAACCAAGTAGGTTAAGAGATTCGAAGCAAGTTTTCAAACAACTTTTCACATTATTTCCAGGTGATATTTTTTGTTCTTCATTCTGGTCAAGCTGTGACGAACGCTGCAGGTAATGTATTAATTAAGTGCTCAATTCTCGATTACAAATCATGTTTTTCACAGTTGAAACCATAGTTATTTCCTTTCACCTGGAATCCCATGGGATTCTATCGCAGCCTTTTGACATCAGTACCGGTAGCAATGACTTCCTGAACGTATCGTTTATGTGTCTGTAGGACTTACAAGAATGATAGTGGCCAGTTCTTTAGATGTCGGAGCAAATTCCATGTCCCATCTTTTAGTGTTCCTATTGGTTTTTTTTAGCATGGTTCTGGTTACTGATTGAGTTACTATCTTACTCAAATCTTATATTATCATTACTAATTCATGAAACCCTATACAAGATAAAGTTAAGACAAAGAGAAGGAATGAAATAAGTAAGTATGCTTTTAGAAAGATCTACAGAACGCGTGTTTTTATTTATCGAAATGTAAGTCAGTTCAGTGTTCGAATTCTATGGTTTAACGTTTGATGAAAATGTATACCTTCAGGAAACATTCGACAGGCTTGACGCGAATTTTATATGTTTCAAACCTACAATGGACACCCATTTTCGGATATTATGGGGGGAAACGGGTCTATACCATATAGAAAACTTTGTTTTTTCTTTCGAACAGTAATACGATATTTAGTGAACGAGCCCTGACGAGGTGTATCTGTTTTGCAGATTTCCCGTTCAGCTTTTTCGTCAAGACCTCCTTCGCAACCCTATCGTACCCCAACAAGACCGTGAGCGGGCTGTCGGAGTCTGAATGTGCCGAAGCCTGCCTGTACGAGTCAGACTTCGACTGTCTGTCAGTGGATTATTACTGGCCGACCGAATACTGCATGTTAAGCGTAGCCAGCGCTACCAGCCTCGGGTATTCACTCACCACAAACAAGTATTACAACTACTATGAAAAGCTTGTCGGTGAGTAACCGGAATCCTTTAGCCTGACTCTCTCCTAAATACTTTCCCCACTCTCAATATCAAACATTATCTCCTTAAAGATCGCCATGCATGCTTACAAATAATAACCAGGAATCTCGGGCTGGTTTTGTTGGTGAAATTCTATTCGACGAAATAATTTGCATTCAGTGTGAAACGGAGTTGGCTCAAACATTCTATACATGTAGGCGCCTTTTGGAAAATTCTTTTGAAAGGAAAGCTGTAGTAAGGAATTACCTCGGTTGTTGGTTTATTCTGAAATTAACCTTTTGCAAAGATTTAAATTTGCCCATGTTTTTAAACAGAGTTCTTTCTAACTTATATAAATGATTAGCCTAAAATTTTATATACACTTGATATTAATTTGGTGTCTTAACTTGCTGATAAATATGCTTTGTTTCTTTTGTTCTTTTTATGCAGTTTCATCTTTTCTCATTGCGCTATTTTTTTTAATAAGCTGCTTATTTTAAAACGAAATAATTGTGATATCGATGTTGTACTTTTTATTCTAGGGGAATGCTCGTTTCCAGCCGTTGGGCTAGAGGATGGCACCGTGTCCCTTGATGACGTCAGCATGTCGTCATTTCTGGGGGATACCGAGGATGGACCAATTGGCATCTCTAAGGCGAGCATCCGGCTGAACTCTGACGGGGCGTGGTGCTCGCAGGAACTGGGGGATGTCAATTCGATTTCCGAATGGGTGCAGGTAGGCCTAAGGGGAGAGTGGATGAAAGTATTTGTAGAAGTGTCGATTTTTCCAGACGGACAATCAGCTGGTTTCCCTTGAATTATGCCTCTAACTAAAAATCTGTCCTGTGTTCAAACCCTACTTGCAATTTACCAAAATGGCGTTAGAGAAAAGGGCTGTTGTTTGATGCAGCCTTGTTGCTGTTTTAGTTTTGCAGAGCTTGATGGAGACCGAAAAAACTAACTGAGCAAGTGTCGTTGAAGTGTTTAAAAGTTGACTGTTCTGGATATGCGAAATTGCTTCGCTGAAAAAGTCCAATTTGAAGATATTTCAGGGACTGCCTCGTAAATCCTTTGTCATCGTTCAAAATTAGCGCCCGAAAATGTGACGCACTTTCTACACTCTAAAAACTTCCGGGTCAGATTGACCCAGAACTGGGTCCCCATTCGGTATGACCCTCTTCCGATGACCCAGAAAGGGTCAAATATGACCCGAAAGGGGTCATATTTTGTCCCAGAAAAGGGTCATACCGAATGGGACCCAATTCTGGGTCAATCTGACCCGGGAGATTTTAGAGTGTAACATCACGCACTTTAACATTATTTGATTTGGCAGGCATAACCAAAATCGTGGAAGCGAATTCCCCCAAGCTTTGTACGCCAAAAGTCTGGTTATAGGCCTCTTGAGTTACTCTTATAATTGTAATGATTTGTTGTAATTTTGCTTGTTGTGAGAATGCGGTTGTCGTGATGGTTTGGATTATATAGTTGGCAGAAATGGGACATTTTGATCGATTTGTTTTGGCTTGTAGTCATAATGCGATTGCTTGCAGTTTTTGGATACACAAAAATGGTTACATCTTAATATTTTCCCGCTTTATCAAGATTGAGTTTAATGAGTTCAAGATTATTGGAGCGGTGGCTACACAGGGTTTTCGTCATCCTGATCTGGATCCAATCTATGTCACGCAGTACTACCTCAAATACACCAATGCAACAGACCAATCCTGGATTGAATATGAGGAAAGTGGACAGACAAAGGTAGGCAATGAATGCCGGACTGTGGTTTTAAAATTAGTTTGTCATTGACTGATCAGTAAAGGAAGAACTTGATAAGGATGTGAGTAATAAGAGGTATTATTGAAGTCCGTTGTGGTCTTAATTCATGGAGACACGGAAAGTGTTGTTTTGGGTTTTGCGTGTGAGATAAACCTCATCATTGAAAGTACTTGTTTGGGGGGGGGTAACCATTCAAGTCCCAGGTGTTTATAGTTAAGCAAAAACGCTTCAAACAAAGGAATTTATAAGATATGGTTGAACTGGTCTAATTTGAGAACGAAGAACGGCGATGGTGTGGATGTGCTTCAAATATGAAAGTCGCCTCTCTCTTTTTTTGACGTGAAAGTCCTTGTATTGGACCTGCTTTGGAATGTACCATTTGCTCTGGTACTATCTGCACTTTTGTATAAAACGTGCACCCACACACACCTTGTGTACATGATCTCCAACTTTGTTGCTGCCCTCAGCCCTGCTTATCGATTTTTTGGCCATTCAATTCAACACGGATTATGGGATCGTCTTTATAATAATCAATAACTAGCTGTCCTGTCGGTCTGCTGTGAAACTGTCCCGTCGTGGTCGTGAAATATTCAAGGACACACGTGAAAGTAGATTCACTAAAACTGGAATAAAGATTATAAATCTTATTTTAAAAAACAAGCAACAAAAATCTAAGTTTCCCATATCACATGCTCAATTTTGATTTTTCTTCACAGTCGGGGACTATTTTCGTATTTCTACGTAGGATTACATTCAAAAGCGATTGAAGGGCAGTTATTATTCACTGAAATAGCTTGTGTTGGTTTTGTATAATTATTTAGAAAGCGTGTTACCCTGGAGACAGGTTAGGATCTAACGCCGAACTCTGATATAATATTCAAGAACAACTCGTTTTCTACCAGAAATCCGTTACGGGACAGGTCAGGGACAGGCCACCTTATTCTGATGTAATTTTAAGCACAAAAATTTACTTATGTTTATGGTTGGTTAGAATTTCATTTTTTGTACATGTATAAGTATTTATCTCATTTCCAATCAAGCTCTTTGGTTTTTCTTTGACAAGGTCAACTTGTCATAGTTTAAATTAAAAGGCATAGGGCCTATTATTGAAAATTATCGAAGATTCAGTTGAAAGGTTAATAATTTCCAACTTTCATTCCATACCATTCCAACCAGGTGATGGACTTCTGTAGTGTTCTTAATTACTAGGCCTTAATTTATGTTGCAAACCGAGCGGCACCTACGGTGGACAGTTTCTCGGAGGAGTCCAACTTAATGATGAAATTGTACAGTATAATAACCCCCGTGTATTTCGTGCATATGTACGGTTGATATCCAGATTTTTGAGGCGAACACCGACCAAGACACCGTGGTTAAAAACGAGCTTGCTCACCCTTTTGTTGCCAAGTTTGTCCGGCTCTATCCCGTAGCGTGTCGCAACCATCCTTGTCTCAGGCTGGAGCTCTACGCCTGCAGAGGTAAGAAAATGTATTACATTACGCTCAGTTTTCCCCAGTAAGTTGTTGCAAAGACAAGAGGTTGTCCTATTTTCAAATGTAGGACAAAAACGGGAACTAAATCGTTCTATGAAAACAGGAACTAAGTCATTTAGGTCATGGATCTCGTTCACTGAATTGTGGTGAAATCGCTTAGGCACTTATATCACAACAGAGCGGAACTATAGAGCCATCATGAAACTATAACGCTGAATATAAGAACCAGAGAGAAATTACTCTGGAAGTAAATACAAAGTCGTTCCCCGGTAAAGGTACTCAAACTGGAAAGGTGACCTATATTACCCCTGGCTCGATTTGCTTTAGACAGAGCCGTATAATCAGTACCGTTTTGTTTCCTACTTTGATTTTTAGGTTGGATTTGGTAGCCAATTAGCCTAAGAACTTTACGCTGGCTGGCTTGAAAGAGTGTACTTTTGTATAGCCTATGTTTGTACTTAAAACAGTTTGTTAACATGTGTGGCGGTTGTAATTACAAGTGTGCCGATATGTTGTATAAAAACTACACTGTTTCTGACACTGACCCTTGTTATAACCATCATACACCTGCACAAATTAAGATACTGTGCAGATAGGATAATGCATACACAGATATTAGACGGCGGGGTTGGATGCGTAAATTTAGAAAGTGTTAAATGAGAGCGTTAAAAGTGGACTCAAAGAAATTACCGATAACAGTGTTTTTAATAATCCAGTTTTCCTGCAAACCTTTATTGAAAGAAAAGCTTAAAATCATTTTACTAGTTGGATGTTAAGCTATCAGAATCTAAAATGTTTGGATCGAATTAAGTAATCGAACCCAAGAATTAGGTATATCGAAAGACAGATGGTTGAATTGTATTTTCCAGTTTTTCAAGACGGAACGACGGAACCATTAAAAACTAAGCCAGGTGAATACACGGTTTAGGTCTCACAACAAGAAATTGATAAAGTTTCTGAGAGGACGTGAGGAAATTATTCGCAGCTGTGGAAAATGGCCATAACGGGGTCCACTCTGTCTCAAGGTTTGCACTTCCTTTGGATCAAATGGGCCCACCAACATCCCCTCCCCCCAAAAGGAGGCAGTATCTTAAAGAAGAGAAGACTTTTCGGACCATAAAAATCCCGCAGCTGGAAGTAGCCTAACACCTCCCAAATACGAAAAATTATGGAAGGAAATCTTCAGACTGTATTTTCATTTTGGGGCTGTGGTGAAAAAAATGCCAAAAAGTTTTTGGCTTGCTCTCTTGTAACAAACTACTAAAATGCATCCGTATCAGATGAAGTTTCAATCTTTAGTGTCGCCAGTTTTAAGCCCTGTTGTGCTGTTAAATTGAGCGAGATTTAGGGTTATAGGACCAGTGGAGACGTCATTTAATAAATTTTGTTGATGAAATAAAGTACATCTCAAGCGTTACGTATTTCGAAATACATTAATTTTCACAGTAATGACGGTGATGATACGTGACTCCTTTTAACAACAGAGGGCGTAACGGTGGGAAATTTGACGAGGGCGATCGACGGTGTTCATCGCACTTGCTCACTTGTGTTCATCTGCTTAAAAAAACAAAAATATTAAGACAGTGATTATTACTACACATGTATTGAAAGTGGGGGCCAAACATGTGAGTGATGCATAAGCTAGGCCCCACAGTTTCATAACTTGAGAAGAAACGGTCGACAGATAGCCCGGGCGGACTCCCAGACCGGCGTCACATTGCACATGCATAGTCCGTTACGTGTGATGCGAGGCAATCGTTCGATCTGTGCATGGAGCTATAAAAAAGGATCTGTAGTACCCGGTAATTGTAGGCCTATAGCTCGATTCTTGTGTGGTCTGTCTGTCTTATTGCATAGGCCTATTAGTATTTGTCAACAATTCCACCGCTTTCCAAATTTTAGACTATGGGCAATAAGTCCAAAATTTGAAAAAGGGAGTTCTAATCATGGAGCGAACACAGTTTTAGGGTTCGTTGCTCCATGGTTGCTGGAGTCCAGACTTTGACCAGGCCCTGCACTCGTGACACTACATGTACATACAGATTGGGTAAGGGGATGACAGTCGTCAGTTTTCTTAAAATTACTGACCTCTCCAGCATGGTTTTCAATTTGCACACTTTCTGCTGCTGATGAGTGCTTGGTCCCCCCCCCCCCCCCGGAAGAAAATCTACATCTATGCAACACTCATGGGCTAGCATCGTACGTGTACACTTTTGTCTCAATGTTCAAGTTTCGGTGATGTTGCATTGCAATGTGTTGTCGACGTGTATCATTTAAGGCCCTGGTTGGACTTGATGGTGGATCTGTGTGATTGATTGATCGATTGATTGCAATATGCTCCAGATGTCACTGGGTGATCCCGTATGAAATCTCCGACTGTGGTGCTTTAATCCCCTTTTTAAAACTCCTTCCCAGAGGTGTGCAAAATTTTTATAAAGGATGCTTACATGAAGGCACAGCAGTTATGGTTGCATGATCAACAGAATAGGCCTAAAGGAGACCAGTGAATTGCTGTCATCTCTGACGGTTTTACTTCTACATTTTTAACAGCCACTTGCGATCTAAATTCTAAATTTTGAAGCATTGAACACACAGTGCTGCTATAATTATTCTGCATGTATACCAGTACATGTACATGTTAAATATGACAGTCACTTGTTAACTTCCAAGGAGTGCACAAAAAGGGACTATCAGCCATCATCTCACCTATTATGTATTTTTCACTTAAAATGTAGAGCAATGGCACGTCAACACTTGTGCTAAGTGTTGCGTATCTGTCAAAATGGCTCCTGGGGCGATTTTGATGGTAAGGCACATGTGTGTCATGTTAATGGGTCATTTTTTGTGTCCGTGAAAGTGAAACGCATGAACGCATTGTGTACGCAACGCAGCCAAAAATGGACATACGTGTATGGAAAGGTGCCTTAAGAGGGTTTTTTATATTCCATTTTGTTCTCAGTACTCAAGCAGATATTTCCAGGCTTCATAAATACCTGGATATAATAGTTCTTTGAAATGAAACTTTTTGCCTTGGTTTAATTGAAATTTAAAATATGTATTGAGATATATTTAAAGAGAATTGTTAGTGATTCTTTTTATTAAAATGAATTATTTATTGGATCGCTGCAGTTTATAAAAATGATTAACACGACACTTTTAAAAGGAAGGCTGTTAATAAGTCCTTTGCGAGTTGAATTTGAATAAAACCTGGTACACTGTGTTATCTGATTGGACATTAACAACAATTTGAATTCCCCAGATTAAAGACACTGTTGTTAAATACCGGTACCTCGTGATTTGGGGCAAGCTTTTTCACACCAACCACCATCTGTGGAATGGACTGGTTTCTTGTGCCCGTCTTATCCTTTGAAAACAGTGTATTGGTGCAACTTATGTAACTAAGCAAAAGCTTGCCCCCAGTTTCATAAGATATGTAGAGTAACTGAGAATTCAATTTGTTATGTTTATGTAAATCTAAAGAACTCAGTGTACCAGATTTTCTTGAAATTTAACTCACAAGAGGCTTATTTAAAGAGAATTTTAACAATGAAGGATGGATGTTCAGTGTCTGTGGAGATCAGATTTTAAAAAGCGAGGTAAACTTGTTTGTGTTAATGACACTCAGAAGTGGTGATGGTCTGATATTGAATTCTCTCCTTTTCATTTCCAGTTGACTGTGAGCCCAATCCCTGTAAAAATAACGGCACCTGTGTGGATGACATCCCCGCTGTGTGGAACGTGACTTGCACCTGTCCGGCCGGATACGTGGGTGATTTTTGCCAGGTGGACTTTGATGAGTGCGGATCTAATCCCTGCCAGAATGGGGCCACCTGCGTGGACCACGTGGATTACTTCACCTGCGATTGTGCGTCAGGTTGGAATGGTGAGTTTTCACATTTCATTGTAGAGACTTGGAAATAATCATGATTATAAAAGATCTGATCAGGTAGTGCCAGTGTTTCCTTTATTAAAGGAAAAGGTACCTGTACCAAGTTTAAAGGTACAGATGACAAAATGACAACATGAAATTTCACTTTTCATTTTAAATGTTAAGTTCCAGAAATGTATCACGTGTTTGCTTGTTTACCAAAGTGCATTGACCATGTACATGGAAATGCCAGGTTTTTATCCTAAGATTGAGAAATCTTCATATTGTAGCAAGAATAGTACTCCCTGGGGTGTACAAAGCATGGTAGTAACATTTTAGGCAACACTACTAAATCTGTTTGTTTTCCTGAGTGGAGAGATATCTAGAGGCTTGTACATTGCTAGGGTAAAGTGACTTGCCTAAGAACACAACACACACCCAGCTTCTTGATTCAACCCCAAACCCTATAATCTGCAGTTATCAGCCCTAAGCATAAGAACAAACACCCATGCACTGTAAATCTCTTTTTATTATACAAATCAATGACTGATTTGAGTGGCATTGTATTAAAGACTAGCTTCCTGAGGTGATCAGCGTAATAGTTTTTGCAATTGGAAATTTAAGCACAGTGGTTGCAGTTTGACCCACTGAGGAATCTGTCACTCTGGTTGAATTTGTCTTTCATTTTATGACTTTAGGCACCCTCTGTGACATAAACATTGATGAGTGTCTATCCAACCCATGCCAAAATGGGGGCAACTGTACTGACCTCGTGGATGGCTACAACTGTACTTGCCTCTATGGCTATGAAGGGGTGCACTGTGAGAATTTCTCAGGTAACAAGACTCAGTCAAAGTCATACTTTTTGAAATGATTTAACCTGGCTTTTCTCAAATCATGAAGAGCAATTTCAATGGAGATGTTAAAGTGAAATATTTTCGTTACTGCTGAAAGTGTCTTTGCTGTGCTAACCATCCCAAAAATGTCAAGTAGATTACCTCTTATTGCTAAAGAAACATCAACAGGAACAAAGAAACTGTCCCTCTCAAAACACATGCAGCATGACGGTTCAAACACCAAAATGTATTTCCTATTCAAGTTCCTTTTTGCGAGTCTGTTTGGAGTTGTGCGCATACAATTCACAATTTGTGACTGAAACAATTTGTAAACAGCTGATTACTGTAGGTGTTAAGTCATCCCCCGGCGCCCAAAACGAAAGACAAAAAGGGAGGTAAAACAGACTAAGGAGTCCAGAATGATTTTCAAGATGCCACACACTTGGCATAGTAATGCCAAGTAACCAATTACATGTGATTAGTTTCTTTAAGGTCTGTATATTGCAACTCTAATTCTAAATTCAACTTTTGGGGGGGGGATTTGGGACAAAGTTTTAAGGAGCTATTAATGTCTTGCTGGAGGGAATTGTTTTTGAAGGTTCAAGAGACTTCCCAGTGGATATATCGTTCATTAATTCAACTTGGAGATTATGGATTTGCATCAGAAAGGTAAAAAAATGCGGAAAACAGTTTGGATTAAAAATATTCATGTTATAATACAAGTGACCCAATCACCCTTTCTCTATATTCAGTTGTGTGTGAGGATGGCTTCATTGAAGGCTATTTTGCCTGCTACAGCATCCTGTCTGACAGTCAGAATCACACTGACTACCAAGGCGCAGTAGCAGCCTGTCATGGCATCAATGGCCACCTAGCCTATCCTAGGGATTATGAAGAGCAGATGGTCATCAGTGATGCCTTGAACCAGCTAGGCGTATCCGGTGTGCTCTTTATGGGTAAGTCAAGGGGAATAGCAGAAAGAGAGTGCATATGATTTCATACAGTGTAGTTGATGCTAAGTAGAATTCCCATCAGTTTGGCCTTGAACCAGCTGTATGTCGATTTACTCTGTGTGCTGTTTTATTCATATAACTGAACAGGGGCGAGACCTATAGATGATCTGATAAAAAATTTACTCCAGCAATAAACAAAAGAAGAGATGTCAGTCTTCAATTTGAAGATTTTGATAATGATGCAAACCAACCCCTGGTAAAGGCTTTTATTCTTCATTCTTTGTGATGGTCATTTTATGGGTTGTTCTTTTTCGTGCAAAAAAGGACCCGTAATCCTGCATGCTGTCCTCAGAAAGTGAACATTTTATGGGGGTCACTCTAATTTATCTTAATATAGCCCTTTGAGGTCACATGACTGATGGCAGATCTTTGTTGGTTGATGGATGGTTTTGTGTATAAGCATCGATGTGAACTGTGCAACCAACACACGGCTTCTCATCCAATGATTGTCGTGATTCTCTTTGTACATACATACATGACCCTAACCCAATCTGTCTAGTTACTGCATAGATTGGGAGCAGTTCTGAAATCCTGGACGTCAAGGTTGAGGATTTCAAAAGCTGACATAAGCTGTGTCATAGGATATTCATGTTTAACACCTTCCATTCAATTGAACATTAAAATAGTTAGTTGTACATAATGCCCACAAAAAACAAACAAAATGCAGACTTTTTGAAGAACTTGAAGGAAATGTAATTTGTCCTCATCACTGGGTGAGTGTACATGTAAGTGTGTATGTATTCAGCTGTCAATACATCTACTCTTGCACCTTGAAATATGCTTTCAAAGCAATTTTGTGACAAAATAATTGAAGTTTCCCATTTATTATATCATTGATTGTCAGCTTCTAGTGTTTCATTCCAAATATAAATTTCAAATATCCAGTAGTAATTGATTGAATAACTGAATATTTGAAAAATCAGTGTAGCCGTACTTAGCATGCATCAGGTGTACCACCCAAGTTTCTTCATTTGTCCCGTGTCATGCCTATTTCCAGGATTGAAATATAATGGTACTGGCCTGGCCTATGATGACAACAGCGGTGAGCCAAATCTATCTACTTGGGACATCGACGGCACCAGCGTACCATACTGGGCGAGTGGCTATCCGACCAGCAGCGTGGAATGTACAGCCATGGGGAAGGAGGGGAGTGACTGGAAATGGAGGAACCTGGACTGTACATCCAGCAAGGGATACATCTGTGAACAGAACAGGAGTACGTGTGGTTTTAGCGTGATTGCTTGACTTTGTGGATGAAATGACCAATGCTCAGTCAGGCACCGAGAATGCTTCACAGGTGCAACTTGGAAGCAGCAAAATTGCTTGGGCGGGAATAAACAATAAGTTACTATGGGTGCAGTTTCTCAGGAATTTCTCTGCATTTTAGGATTTCTTGGACTTTTAGATATCTAGTGATTTAGGTTTTATTACTTTTATGAGCATTCTAGAAAAAAAAAATTGGGTAGATTCACGTACATGTAATCAAAGCCATTTGGGAGAGAACGCATACACTGTACCTTGTTGGTTATGGCCCTGATGCCTTGCAATATTTTATTGTTGTCATCAACACGACCTCTTGGCTGGATTCTCTGATAAATTTCTCTTCATCCCTAAATCTCACCGCTGCATTTCAGTCAAGGTGCCACCTAAGTACGTTCCACACACATCAGACATACTTTTAAATCTGAGATTTGGTGGGCTAACCCCTTGACGACGGGAATTTTTCCGAAAGCCGACTCCAAGAATTCCAGCCTCGCCTGGCCACGAAGGCCACCTGCCAAACCGCTAATTCTCGGTTTGTGGCCCTGTGTGCTCTGCACGTTTTGAATTACACAGTGAAAAGGCTGATTGTTTGGTGGCTCTTACCGTCATCCGGCACGAAGGGGTTAAAAGTTCCATATTGTGGAAGAAATTTTGAGTATGCTTGTATGACCTGAGATGTTGTGCTACCTCAGTTTAAAAAAAACCCAGACTTCTGGAGGTATATGAAATGTTCACCTCAGATGAAGCGGAAGTACATGGACATAGTTTAATCTAGGATATTCTGGGGATAGGATCTGTTGTTATACCTGTAATCTTTGGTCTGTAACATCCCAACCTTGCCCACTGCCCCAACTCTGTCCGGTGTCAATTTGGGGTGACAAGGTTGGGCATGCCCAACTTTGGTTAAACCATCACACCTAATTTAAAAGAGTGCAGTTTAATACAATTTTAAAAACATTTTGTGAAGGGTTCTGCAGAGTTTTCTTTCATGGCTTAAGTGACTAGACTGCTGTTTCATGTATCATTGACATCATTGCATTTCACTGAGTTTCGTTGTCAGGTTCCTTTTCTTTTGTTTCAGTTTCAAAACAATTTTATGATACTTACTATACATGTATGCTTACTGGTGTTGGGATGGCCCAAGTTGGCACCAAATATAATTGGGCAGTGGACACAGTTGGGATGTAACATGCCCTAACGGTCTGAGATCTGATCATCATTGAAACCCATTACGCATTGAAGGATGGGTGCTAATTAATGATCTTTTGATAGTTAATATTTAGGATAATTCTTATTCCTCTTACACAGGATCTGATGAGGTGCATACATGATGTACAGAGACATGTATACATGTATATATACGTGTAGTAATCACCTGTTTGTGAGAGGTTGCAAAGCAGGACCAAGAACTCCTGGGTTATCTTTAACATTGCCTGTGTTCTACCCCCCATCTAGCTCATGGTGGTTTGAGTGAGTGGTCCCATTGGAGTGCCTGTAGTGTGACCTGTGGCCCTGGGGAGGGGGTGCAGACGCGTACCCGCACCTGCACCAACCCCGCACCTCTACTACAAGGTAACCCCTGCAATGGAACGACCAATGAAACGCAAGTGTGTGGAGAGATCTGTCCAATCGGTGAGTCTAATCCGTGGCTTGTTTAGTTTGAAACTGTGCAATAAAATTTGTTTCAAGCTTGTGTACATAATTCAAGGATTATGGTGCTAGACAAAATACGTTAACTTAGAACCAGTTAGTACTTTCCAGTATCTCAGTGATTTGTGAAAAAAACTTTTACATTTATTCCATGTGCTTAATGTGACAACATCTTCCCTTCAATACTAATTAACTTGTAAGTGCTCTCTGGGTTTATGTCAAAACAGTGCTAAGACAAATGTTGGTTTCACAAACTTAAATGCAGGTATAGTATGGTTCCAGACTTCATACACAGACATCTGATATAAAGATTCTGGTTCTTAACTTTGAGAATTTTGGTTTTCCTGAACTTTACGCACAAAGTGTTGTGGATATAGAGTTGAATTTAGCATAGCCTTTAGAGATAAGTGTATAGTACAGAAAGGTTACAGGAAGAACAGATGCCGTAGTTTGCATGCTTTTTAGAAATAAAATTGTATGTTCTCTTAAACTTTAAACTTTAAGCTGAAAGATACATGTAATTTGATCAAGTTGTCTTTTCATTTTTTTTTTTCAGTTGAGTGCCCTGATGGATTCGTCACCAACTATGACACCTGTTACCTTCTTCAAATCAACCAATCAGCTACCTCTGAGGAGGCGCAGACTGCCTGTCAGAACCTAACAATCTACGGAGGTCACCTGATCCTCTTGAATGACCTCGCAGAGGAGACTTTTGTCAGCCTGATGCTGTTTGATAACTATGCCGACACTTCCTCAAAGTTTCAGACAGGGAACCGCTTGAATGAAGGCAACATGACCTTTGACTGGGTATTTGCCAGTAGCGCCGGGGCGCTGAACCAGAGCTCGTGGGAGCTGGCTGGGGTATCGCCCTGGGGGAATCAGGGCCCGCCTGGGGCAGAGGACAGTGGCTGCATCCAGCTAGCATTGAATGGCACAACTTGGCGATGGGAGCTTGGTGACTGCACAGGGAGTTATGGATACATCTGTGAGGTCAATTTAGGTGGGTATCAAATTGATATTCCATATTTGGAACTTTGGAAGATTGTTTTCATGGAGGATACAGTAAGATTGGGTCACATATTAAAGTCACATTCAAAGCACTGAATGTTTCCACTGGTGTGTTCCGCACATTGATTGTAAGAAGGCATGGCAGGCTATGAACTGTTTTGTGTTAATGCAGTTGCTGCTGTCCATGTGCTGTGATATTCAAATTATGGATATTTGTTAATGCATTATGGTAAGTATACATGTAATTTCATGAGATGACTGATTGAGTATTCCATTTTAGGCCAACTCAACTCTGTCACCAAATAAAATTATTCTTTTTCTCCACAAAAATGAAACATTTATGGTTACTTGTTTTATACGGTACAACCCCTGAATAATTCCTACCTTTGACAGCAGAAAGAAGGTTGCATCACATTTGTCTGTATGACCGAAAAATTGTATTTTTGCGAGAAAGGCTTTGATCATGCCTACTACTTGGCATGGCATGTGTGGAGTGTAACATCCTTTCTTCATCTGAAGAGCTGCAACTACCAACACGTATGTACTGCACATGCTCAATAGAATGAAATATGTAAAAGGTATAACAAATTACAATGCGTACTGAATTATTTGTGACTTGTTATCGACGAGCACCAATCAGATGGTGGGGATTTATTCAGGTGTTTTGCAATCAGTTTTAGATGTTGTTTCCATTCTCATACATATTCCATAGCTGGTGGTATGTTGGGCTCATGGTCAGCCTGGGGGGAGTGTAACGCAACTTGTGGCACAGGAAACCAGACCAGGCAGCGATGGTGTGAGGCCCCTGCTCCAATACTTGGAGGACCCAATTGCACCGGAGCTTTTGAAGACACCCAAGGGTGCACTTCCATTTGTCCGATAGGTACAGTTTGGCCAAATATTCCTTGAAATATTGAAATATCTTCATAAGTTGTGAAACAGGAAAGGTTGAAATTATATCTTAGTTACAGAAAACATATTCACAAGTGAAATTGTAACAGGTGCTTGAAATTGATTTTTACAATAAATTGTGGGCTCAAAGATGCACTCCAGTGTGTGAAAAATCTATACACTGTGAATTGACCACCATGTTCCATGCTATTCTGTGGGAAATGAAATGGAAAATGGTAATTGCATGTATTTTAGAAAGGTTTCATTTTGAATCTTGAGGTTTAGTTTTTAAAGGTCAACTTCCATTCAGGGATTTACTTTCTGAATTTGAGCACGAAATTGGATGCATTCATTGTCACATTGTGACTAAAGTTACACAAGAACTACTTTTAGAAAAATTTTTTTAAAATATAGTCAAGCGAATTATAAGTTTTAATTTGATTTTTTCTGTTTCATTTGATTTATCACTGACAGTGACTTGCCCCAGTGGTTTCTCAGTTCACCACGACAGCTGTTATGCCATCATCGATAATCCTAATCTCTACACATCACGCGACTCAGCCCAAGCCTACTGTGCCAACCTAGCCTATAGATCCCATCTGGCTTATGTCCAATCAGAACACGAGCTAGACTTTGTGAGTTTCCGCTTGGATGACTCTGACGTCGGATACACCGAAACAGTGTGGATCGGACTAGACTACGAATCAGGCTCGTTGACTTACAACAATGGAATGGAGATGGTCAGTGTAGGAAACTGGAGTGGCTCAGGGCCCTGGGCTGCTGGATATGGGGGGTCTACAGCCCCCTCTTGTGTCGGGCTTGTTTATGATAAGCCCCAGTGGAGATGGAGAATGGCTAACACTTCCTGTGATGATTCTTTGGGATTTGTCTGCGAATTAACTCAAGGTTCGTGTTTAAGTGTACAACTAAAGACATTTTACCAACCCCTCCCACCTCAGAAGAATGAATGTCGATGTAACATTTTTCAATCACTGTAAAACATTTCAGAGCACCCGTATTACATTAGACCTACTTGACAATGATGTGACAGGATAGCAGTGTTGTATTCAAGTCCATCACAAGTCCCTGCAAGTCCCTGTAAGTCCAACACCAGTCATTCTGTCTTAAGAACAAGCTATTCAAATGAACTGTGACAAAAGCATTCCTTTGCCATTGTTCACCCTGTGATGACTGGCCATGTGAAGGGACTTGTGACTGGACTTGTGGTGGACTCAAATGCAAACCCTGCAGGATAGTCATAAGAAAGAAAGAAGTTGACTGCAGTGGCCCATATGGCTTATTTTTAAACACAAAAGTTATTTGACCTTGATAGCATCCTTGCGACACATGTTATCCACTTGTCTCTTCCAACAAAATATGTGCACTGAAGGCCCCTTTTATCATTACAAATGTCACAGGCTCAAATCTAGGGGGGGGTAGGAAAAGAAACCCGTGTAATACCCTCTAGTCACTAATTCTTACAATTTGTTCCTTCTAGCTCCTGGTAACTGGGGTTCTTGGGGAGCCTGGGCAGAGTGCTCTGTGTCCTGCGGTAACGGTACGCAGACGCGCTACAGACAGTGTGACGATCCGGCCCCTGTCCTTGACGGTGATGACTGCCCAGGAAGTAACAGCAGTGTGAGGAACTGCAGTATCCTCTGTCCCATCGGTGAGATTGTCAGTGTGTATGTATTTATCGCACAGTGTCTAAACCTGCCATTGCTGCCAAACAGCCTGTGTCCTTCCAGAGCAGGAAGGTTTTGTAAATTTCATGATGGCAGCCTGATATGGCCAAAATATCCAATTTTGTGTCTGGTTCCTAGCTGTCTCTCTTAATGTTGAGAACGTTGTCGTACATGGTTTGCTTTAACTGTCACACTGATGCTGCTGCACTTCCATTGATCTGTGTCTACCTTGAGCAGAAGTACCCCCTCATGAGTTGACATGAGCCATGTTGGTATGGAGAGTTCATTTTGTTGCAATGCGTGCATGTCATAGTCATTTGTGAATCAGCAAAGTGCATTTCCCCACCGAAGGGGCCTACATTGTTAGAAAAAGTGCACCCTGTCTTGGGCCCGCTCAGGATTGGATAGACTAATCCAAGGATACACCATTACTGCGTAGGCATCAGGAACATGTGCTCATTTAGGTAGGTTACAGTGCCCTCTTTTCTCTTTGCAGTAACTTGCCCGAATGGTTTTGATGTCTACTACGACAGCTGTTACCAGACCATAAGCGGCTCTGCCAACTTCCTCTCTTTTGACGACGCAAATTCCTCCTGCGTGGATCTGACCTCTGACACCGGCCGTCTCGTTCACATCGACGACTACGCAGAGCAAGAATTCCTCAGTTGGAGTCTGAAGAATGACAAGACCAACACGTCCAGCATGGTGTACGTCGGAATGACTTATGACGGCTCTAATGTGGCGTTCTACTCTGCGACTGGTAGCCCGGATGAGTCTTCCTACCCAGGCAGTTCCATTTGGGCAGAGGGGTTCCCTGATTCATCTGGAGGGACAACATGCATTGGGATGGTGTACAGCAGTCCAACATGGGAATGGCTGCTTGGAAATGTTGACTGTGATGTCCAGAGATCATACATCTGTGAAATTACTCAGGGTATGTTTTGACAAGCTATCTTTCTTGTCCTGTTTTCTGGTATTTGGTTTTAGTTTTCGCTTGTCAACAGTATTATTTTTGGCTGAAAATTAAGACTGTTAAAAAAGGCTGGCAACCAATTTTTGATGTACAGTACCTGTACAGCCAATCGCCACTAGCACTGCTCCGGAGTCATGTGAGCAGTATTTGTTTGATATTCCTTACGGCAACCTCAATTTTTTTTCAACACTTTGGGGTGTGCACACCAAGTTTTTGTCATCACAACAGGCTGTGCGTGTGTGTACATGGAAAGTGAATGAGTGATCAGCTTGTTTACATGTCAAGCAGAGGCGAGTCTAAAGCTAACCTGTCTGCCAGTCAAAAACATTGACTCATCGTCATTGCCATCGGCCGTTTTCTTCATCTCTGGAAACTCAGATTTAGTTTTATAAGTCAAAAACAAAGTTATTCAGACCACACTTTCTAGTTTTCAAGTTCACGTTTTCAAGCCTTGTACTTTGATGTTTTTGTTGGAGTTGGCCAAAAGTTATCGATAAAACTGTCTTTTGCCTTCCGGCAATTCTTATTCATCATTGCTTGCAGGTGACGGCAGCTGGGGTTCCTGGGGTGCTTGGAGCCAATGCACTGAGTCCTGTGGCCAGGGAATCCAGACACGTGAGCGCTACTGTGACGACCCACCTGCCATACTTGGAGGGTTGGACTGTGTGGGCAGTAACAACGATAGCCGGGCATGCAACTTCCCATGCCCAGTGGGTAAGTGCATTAGGGCTTCGATGGTTCCACAGATAAATGGTATCAGACCAAAATTGGCTTTATTCACAAGTCGGCCATATTGAATTGAAAGGAAGATTAGCTTTTCATTTTGGGAGCCTAAGAGTAAAACAAAAGCCTTAAAATAAAAGTTCCTTACAAATCCATGCCAGTTATGCTGATAAATAATTTTAAATGTGTTATTAATTATATCTAAATTTCTTTTAGCAACAGTATATAAATAATGAAAATGAGGCTAAGAACCCAATGCAATCATGCTCCACCCTATTGAACAGATTACATTGAATGAGATAGATTCAGGAAACATGACTGAAAATTGCTTCCTCGTGAATAAGGTCTTCTTAGGGCTAGAAGGATCCTTTTGGGGAGGGGGGCAGTTATAAACTGAAACATTTGCAGATTCAAGCATATTCTTTCTTAACTAGGAAAGTATAACTTTAGGTTAATAATGAGCGAAGTTAATACCTTCTTTTTAGGCCTGCAGCTGTTTCCCACAATCAGATTGTAACCAGAAACATTTTCTGGCAAGAGCATGGAGAAAGGTGTTTGCTGGGAATAGGGCTTTTGGAAAGTGCTTGGCGTTTGTTTTTTATACATGTTGTACTGTTTTTTACCTGTACACCAATGTATATTTATTTTCCCACTGTATTTTTCTGTTGGTTTTCTGTCTGAAAAAATTGCAAGCTCGTTCGGATGTGATTCAAACCCAAGACTTACTTACTGGAGTTCTCGAAATGAGCAAGACAATGAAGAAATGTTCAGTTTTAGAGGTGGGAGGACTTAAAACCCAATGGTGGGATTTGAACATTCGACTTCAGAGGTAAAAGGGAAGGAAAGAACCACTACATCAACCTGATCCCTCAAAAGAAGACAAAATAGGCTGAAAGTGCTCTCATTTAACATTCAAAGTTGTGATAAGCCATCACAAATTATCCAGTCTCAAGTCAAGTAACGCCTCACTCAAGCTGAGACACTGACCCATCATCACCTGTTGATTGTGACCCGGCTGGTGACTTAACCCATGATTGATTTGTGATTTTGACTTTACTGATTTCCAAGCTCATAGTGTTCTTTATCATCAACCTGTGGCCTCTGATACTCCTTAATGTTTTTTGCAGTCACTTGCCCGGATGACTTTGACGCTGGCCACGACAGCTGCTATCACATGCTGACCACTTCCTCTCTCTTCACGGACTACGAGGGCGCCAATATCTCCTGCGCATCCATGACAAACGACACTGGCCATCTGCTCCATGTCAACACCCAAACTGAGCTGGTGACCATCAGTTGGAAACTGAAAATTGCCCAAACTGAGTTAGCTGACGCCTTCTACACTGGTAAACTTAAACCAATGAATGTTTGCATCTTCAAGCTAATTTGAATCCTTGATCAGGATCGATCGATCCCTAGCAAAGATCACACTACATTTACCCATGTACCATGGTCCGTGAAACATGGTTTGTATTTCAGGCAAAACAATCGAGATCTGCAAAATCTACCGTGAATTCAAAATGGTATTCTTCTTAAAATGTGCAGTTAGATGCACACTTCCAGAATTGTTGTTCCATCTTTGCTGTCTGTTAAGGTTGTTCAAAGACAAATTAATTACCCCACATGTGCTTGTGAAGCAATGGATAATAAGGAAGTTAAGCAGCATGCCCAAGCCACCATTTCTTTTGCCTTGACATACATGAAAAACTTCTTGTATTCAAGCTTGGTCTTGTTTTCTTCTGCAATGCTTTCCTTAAACCTTATAAAATGTGCCTGTGTCCCACATACCACTCAGCCTTGAGACACAGGTGATCTGCATGTGGGCTTATGGGATAACCAGTAGCTATCAAAGTGGCAGACCAGCCTCCTCTTAAGCCTTTGTAAACTAGTTTGCCTCTGAAACTCGCTTCTAGAAGTGTTATAACTCTTGAAGGCAAAAGAAATAATCTAAAACAACTTTCATTTGTTGCTTCATTCTGTATAGCTACTCATGATTTATAGTTATTCATGCATACATTCAAGTAGTCAGTCAGTCACTTTATCACAAACGTTTATTTCCTTGTTGTGGCAACTATATGTATTAAAATGCATTTAAGTAATAAGGCAACTAGAGGTGTCGAAACCTTCAAAGTATATGCTGGAACTTGAATCTGGTATGTTCATGTCCCAAATCTACAAATTGATGTTTCCGACTAATTTTACCATTAACTGCACTAATAAAATGATGTCTTGCAAATACGTTTCTGACGTTTTCAAAAGCAAGTCGTGTTTTCGGAGGACCATAACTTTAATCAATCTATGTTGTAATATTTGTTTCTCTATGAACAGGCATGAAATATGAGGGTAGTTCTATCGTATTTGATGACGGTATTGGAAGTCCGAATCTGACATCCTGGGGCAGCGATGACCCCTGGAAGAATAACTACCCAACAGCCACTGGGGAGGAGTGCGTCTTGCTGATGTACAATCATGCATCGTGGGAGTGGAAACTTGGGAACAAGGACTGTGGCAGCTCATATGGTTACATCTGTGAGATCACTCAAAGTACGTTTCTCGACATTACATGGCAATAATGCAGGCTTCACTTGCCATGGTAAACTCACTCATATCTTTGTCTTTGAGAATTGACTGAGTCACTTTGGGACCGTGTCTGAGTGGATTGCTGACTTGTAAAATAGAGACCAGCGCCCACTTTCATAGCACTGCTTAACACCCCTTTTTGTCATAGCAAAGTGTTGAATTTTTTTTCAGAGACATTTAAGCAGTAATCACAGTAAAAGCAAGCTTAATCCAACAGGAAAAAAGATGCTTAAATCAGTGCTACTCTGAGCACAAAAGTTGTTTAGTAACTGTTAGGCGGCACTATGTTATTGGGCCCAGATATGATTCAGTGTGCTGACTCAGGTTAAGACTGTTTAAGATACCCATAGAGGAAGGACACAGAAGGAGTTGCAACTCGGGCATTTCAAAGTGTTCAATGATGGTTGCCGCCGAGTCAGACGAATAATAGAAAACATTCCAAAAATGCCTGATTACTGCCTGCATCTTAGCCGGACAAGCGGGGCCAGTAATATCCTAGCAATACTTGTAGTTTTTTGCTTGCAATTAAATATAAATTATTGCTGTGACCAGGAAATAGAGACAGAAAAATCCCTGATATTGGACCTACTTTTGCCACTGTAAATAAACATTTTAAATTTTGATACACTTTTCCATTATCCATGCAAAGTTTGTAATTTTATTCTCCTCCGTCCAATACATCAGTGTTCAAAGACTAGGTACAAATTTGGCTAAGACTGGCCAATAAAATGTTGACTTTCTCTGGAAAACTAAGTTCATTAGCAACAGAATGCGCTATTTCATCACAGGGAGTGAGTGTTTACGCTTTTGTACTAATGCTATAATAAGAATGATTCAAACAAAACACAAAATCTTGTAAACAATCGAGTTATTTATTCCCAAAATAACTCCAGAAGAAAGAGCTCATTAAGGGCAATGACTGCACATATAGATTTTGGGCACGCAGCGTAATGCAAGCAACTGCGCAAGCGTTAAGTTTGATGTTGTCAGGAGACCATACCAAGCACCAACAAAGGCATGAATATTCAATGTCCTATACCTCAGTACACGAAGTTTTAAGGATGCAGATTACCAGCGAAAAATTGCAGCGGCGATCATAGGGTACAAAGGGATTTCGTGGTTGTGAAACAGATGGTGCGCAGCAAGCGCTCGCTGCGCTCTGGCTATGGACATACCAGGCATGCCAGAAAGCGGTAATTGGCCAGATGTTAAAGCCCGGGCAGTTCAAACTCCTGTGTCCTTCCTCTATGGGAGACCTAACCTCAGTCAATGAGTGACTTAGAAAAAGTATTTTTGCCAAATATTTAAATAAAATATGAAATGTTGAATTATTTTCAAAATCAAACATCAATGAATACTAATTAAATAAAAAGGCAAACAATTCATTTGTTTGGTTACAAATTTGTATTCTGAAAGCATATTTTTAAAGGAAAGGTGTTAAGAGTATAAAACGTACTGCCAACCGAATACTTACATTTAACAATAAGACTGCACTTTACTATGCTTCTTTTCTCTTTTTTCTTTTGGTTTTATTTTCTGTGGAAAATGAAAAACCATGGCAGAGACACTATGCAAATATTGTTTGCTTGAGAATGCAATGACGGTAATGAAGCATTGGCATTTTGACATGTTTCCTACAGCGGATGGCAACTGGGGAGCCTGGAGTGCATGGAGTGAATGCAGCCAGACCTGTGATGAAGCCCCTAACATGGGCACTCGGATGCGCAATCGCACCTGCTCCAACCCGGCCCCCATACTTGGTGGAGATTTCTGTCCAGGTAACATGACGGATAGCGAGGCGTGCGGGTCCCGGTGCCCTCCAGGTAATGTCTGTCTTCTCTTCTGTTCTAGATAAGCAGTAATTGGAAACCTTTGTATCATGTTCATGTTTAATGACTTCAGGGAATTTGGCCCAAAAATGATTTCTTTGCAAGTTTTTCCTTTTCAGAGGCAGTATTGTAGGCAACTCAATATTATGCAGACTCCATAAAGACTAATGAAAGCCATGTTTGATTCAATATTTCGTTCTTTATTCAGAACATCTTCAGGAAAGTAGGCAAGTCCTTCACAAATTCTGCTGGCAGCAGGCATCCGGTCTTAAGCCAAGTCACAGGCTATTCAAATAAACTGCAACAAAAGCATTCATTTATCATTCTTTACTCTGTCACTTACGACTGGTCTTGTGAAAGGACCTGTGACTGGACTTTTGAAGGGGCTCGATTTCAGTACTCTTCCAAGGTCTGATATCTCAAAACCTGTCGTGTCTCATATAACTTATCTTTAGATTTCAGATGAGTTTTTCCTAAGGATAATCATTTAAGATCAGTCATTGAACCACTTTCTTTAAATGCATCTTAATTAAGCAAGACATTGAGAAAAATACTTTCAAACAAATGATCAGTCCTTGAATGAGGAGTTAACTTTCTGGTTGACTGCTGTGTCATGGCTGTTTTATGAATTAAAATATGCATTGAAAAGACATACATATTTTTATACTTGCATGGACCAAATCTTTTCGCCTATCAACTCGCCTTCTACCACAGGCATGACAAGAAACCTTGAATTATAGGAGGTTATTTGGATCACTGTTATGATTTGGAGCTTTCCATGGTGGAGAATGGACTGAGAGGAGAACTTATGCTGACACCACGTGGATAGATCTCTTTTAGAAGAGGTGTGGCCATGATGAGAACCAATATGCACTTGACATTTCGACCAGTGCGCCCTGGTCCTGAGGACATTATGCACTTGACATTTTGACCAGTGCGCCCTGGTCCTGAGGACTCCTGGGGACGACTAGAGCACACTGGTCAAATCATGGATTACACGCTCAGTTCTTATCAGAACCACCTCTATTCTTAAAGACAGCTATCTACATGGTGTCATCGCAAGCCCTCTCCTTATTTTGATCACTGTGTCATCGTTTCACTTTTCCTCTTTATTTATTCTCAAGAGGGTGATTACTTATAATTTAGATGATTTAAGCTACTGTAACACCATTTACTTAAATATTACCATAGTGTCATCAAAAAGCCTTTTTTTTACACAGTTTCAATGTTGGATTCTGTGATCAACTCTGAGATGAAGCTTGATATTTTGCGAAAGTGAAAGATTTGGCATGAGGAGTGACAAATTTTAATGTTTGCCAAAGAAATCGGCAGTTGTTAGCAAAAGCAGCTCATTCTTAATACTTTGTTCAATTTCTCCCGGCATCCACAGTGCACGGTAACTTCACAGAGTGGGTGTATGACGATTGTAGCGTGACATGCTACACAGTCTACAACGATGAAGATGAGACGCTCCGCTACGGCGGGCTTCAGAACCGAACACGCAACTGCACCAACCCGGCACCCCGGTACGGAGGGAACAGCTGCGTGGGCAATGCTACCGAAATAGTCAGTTGTGGAACAGAGGATGGAAATGAATGTTCACCAAGTAAGAATTCTGAAAGTGACATCGCTCTCCGGCTGAATTGAGGAAACCTCAAATTCGTTTACTCTTTGCTCTCTAAACCTGGTGTTTGTTTTCGTGACCAAAACCTTGTTTGTAATGTCAAGGCAATGACCAGGAACGTGTTTAAGTGAGGCTAAAAAGCAGAGAACCAACTAATATACCTGTAGTATATAAGCCTGAAGAAATCTGTATAGATAGAGGACAGTGAGAAGCAATTACAGTTTTAGAAGAGGGGGAAAATCCCAGAAAGATTCTTCAGACGAAAAACTACAGAGAAAGACAGTGAGGAGAAAACCCAATCCACAATGGGTCTGGGAGAGATTTGAGCCCAGGCCACAGAAGTTGAAGGTGAGGAAAGAACCACTACACCAACCTTTGCTAGACATGAGGATATAATTTATACATACACCAAGTTGGCCTATCGTGGAGAGCACTGTTTAGGTCTGTCATATTTGACCACTTTTGTTGGTGCTGTGAGCACCTGTTCTTTGTACAGTCGATGGTTCCTGGAGTGCATGGACTAACTTCTCAGAATGTACCACTACCTGTGGGGGTGGCACGCGCAACCGCACACGACAGTGCAACAACCCACGCACACAGAACGGTGGCCAGACATGCCCGGGAAATGGCACAGAAACAGAGACTTGCAACACCGACCCATGCCCAGGTTAGTACTAGTAATGTAATGACATCGGATATAGTCCTAACATTTTGCATAGTGTAGTTTTAATACCCAAACTTTGTAGCCTAAAAGCCTTTGTTTTCTCTTCATTTTTATCAATACGTTATCTCTTAGAATTATATTAAAGAGTAATTAGGACAATAATGATCCATTCAGGAAAATGTTACCTTTTAAAAATCATATTTAACTTTGATAGATTTGGAGGCAATGATGATACACATATTACATGGCACTTATAAGGTTTTAGTAAATATTTTTCGCAGTATCCTCAGTTATTTAATTTTGTAACACTCTCATCCGAGATTTTTTTTTCCTGCCGTGTATAACGCTGTGTTTTTGTTAATTACACTATGAAAACACTGAAATCCAGGAATGTCTTTGATATTAAAACTACCTTGACGTATGGGATATATTGTGCTTGAAATCAGAGGCCTGCTCATTACTCTGAAAGTCAAGCTGTTGTATTGAGCTGATAATCAACTTTTTTCTTCCAGTGAATGGCAACTTTACCATGTGGTCCGCTTGGAGCGTCTGTTCATCCACTTGTGTTGGTGGCATCCAGTACCGTGAACGCAATTGTAGCAATCCGGAGCCAGCCTATGGTGGTCTGAATTGCAGTGGTGAGAGCCTACAGTGGCAGAATTGCAGTGAAGACACACCCTGCCCAGGTAGAGAAAACTTCATGCCATGCAATTTGTTGTCCTCTGAGAACTAATATGAGTAATGCTTTTTGGACTCTGAAAGTTTCATTTTGAAGTGTTGGAGGGGGCTTATCAAATTTACATCCCTAGAAGCCTGAGAGTGTCTGGCTTGGGGAGAGGCACGGGAGGCTAGGTACACGGTGGAACTTTTCTCCTCAGAAGCTGTGTATATGTATATTTTACATAGGTTTTCATCGGTCCCTGAACAAAATTCTGTCATGGAAATTCCAGATTGCGTTGGGCAAAATCTGAATAATGAAAAGGGGAGCGGGCACAAGTGATGAATGGTTCATGCTTACATCATCCTTGCTGACAAGGAAAGTTCCGTTCCAGTTCCAGATTATGGCTTGATCAATTTTTGTGAAGAACCCATCAACTTAGGAGTTTTGCAAACACTTGTTTAGTTGACAAATGGCAAGAAAAACCTCCAAGTAACTGCCATAGAATCTTTGTACTGTGTCCAGCACATACTCGCCAAAATATTTGAAAGATTTCCAACATCTCTACTAGAAACACCGATATGAATGACTGAACTGATCTCATTCAAGGTGTTACAGTAATACTTCTGCAGTGATTCTCGTTTTTCTAAATCCTACTGTACTCCCTTTGAAGCAATCACAGCACAGATTGGAAATATAGGAAGGGCCTCTGACTAAAGCATGCAGTATGGGAAGACTGCATGGTGATCATGAGAAATGCAATCAGTCAGTGTTGGAAAGTCAAAGGTTTAAATCTGCTCAGTTTTAATAAGGTAAAATATTTGCACCAGAGAATGACTCAAAGGCTTGGAATATGCGATAAACATAGGGCTGAGTCAAGATAAAAATTTCATATCCAGACTTTTCCAAGATGGCAGAGGGATTTTAAGAACTTTTCACATTAAAGGTTTGCAACTTGTGATTATGCTGTTAGAAACAAATAAAGTAAACAGGCATTACAAATTTAACAATTCATAAGCAAAGAAAAGGAGAGACAGGGATAAAAGGAAGTGGACAGAGATGAGAAGCTATTTCATTTGTTTACTTGACCTAAAATAGACCAGTTTAATCACATGTCTCCTTCACAGTTCATGGTCAGTACAGTGAGTGGTCAGAATGGAGCAACTGCACCGTGGAGTGTGAGGGCATCGGCTCTCAAAACCGCACCCGTACCTGCACAAACCCTGCCCCTGCCCATGGAGGGGACGACTGTCCAGAAGACCAAGCCAGCAGCGAGACGAGAGTCTGTGGTACTCAGAGATGCCCAAGTAAGCCTAGAAGTTTTCATAACATGCATATCTTCAAGAATTGTACACTTTATGTAGGATTAATACAGGCAGTGATAGCAACTTAATGTTAAGAAATGGACTTTGGCCTACACTGGCTTACATGTACATTAGCTCAAAAGTATCTCAACCCTATCACTTCTGCCATATTTGTAATTATGTTCCAATTTGAAATTAGTAACTGCAATAGTTCACTCTAAAACAACAGTTTATGTAACTGTCATTTGTGGTTAGGTCAGTTTAAATTTACTTGTAAACTTTTGTGTCCAAACAGTTTTCTGGTTTTGTATAAATATTTGCAATCTTCAACCATTGGGAACAGATTCTTTTAATATCAATGAGATTTTAATGTTGCAAGATGAAATACATTCAAATGACCCCTCCATCATGATGTTTGTATTTCTTCATTTAAATGAGGGTACTTTGAATTAGATTCATTATTTCCAATTATATGACATCCAGATAAGCAAGGCTGAAGTTTTTATCCTTGAAATTCATAGTGATTTGGATGGAAAAGAATTTTGCTATTAAAATTTTCTTTACTAATGGTATTCTTCATGTTCATGATTCTTTCAGTCGATGGAGGCTTCAGTGATTGGCAAGGCTGGTCTGAATGCACCGCCCACTGCGGCACAGGCGGTGTACGCTACAGGCACCACCCTTGCACAAACCCCACCCCCCAGTTTGGCGGTATGGATTGCCCTGGAGATCATTACATCAGAGAAGGATGTGACTCCAGTGTCTCCTGTAGAGGTAAGATACATCATTCAGTCTTCTCATCAAAACCAATTTTCATTTTCTTCGGTTTATAAACACACATTACCGTCTTTTATGGACAAGGAATCTCTTTGCAGCAAAATACAACTGTTGTCCAATAGTTTCTGATGGATTTGCACCGGGGAGATATAAATTAATTTTGGATTTTAACACTGTATACTCAGTGTTTGCCCCCGAAGGCTTGTGAAAAAAACCACAGGTGTACCCGGGTGGGACATGAACCCACGACTTCCTGCTTACTAGTGCAGTAGTTCAGTGTTGTCAAATAGTTTCAGCAAGTTGTAAGACAAACGTGAACTTCTTACTGAACATTTAAAGTTTAAATGTGAAACTTTGCATCATTAATTTACCAATATACAAAGTAAAACAATGACTTACACTCAAAGATGATTTCTCCAAGCATGATAGTTTGCCATTTAGAAATTCATGAATGTTTCACTCATGTTTCACTCATAAAACATTCGTTATTTGTGTATTACTTGGAGGATCCTTGAAGATGTTGTTAACCATTGTTCTTCTGAAGGACATGTATAAAAAACCAATCTGGCAGTCTGTTTGCAATGGCTACCAATCATAGGCTGAACCATGTAGCAATCCCCATGTCTACAATAGTAGACATCTCATTTGCCATTGGTGACACACGCAACATCTGAGAAGTCTTCATAGAAGGATCATGTGTTGAGCCTGATTTTCAGTTTGACCACTGTGTACGGCCTTATGTAGCAAACACCGCTTTGTCGCAGCTAGGAGCTTTGAGCGTTCCAAGGTATTAGATTGTCATGAGAAATGTGGTACAAATGCTGTACTAATGGATCTCAAGAGTCCGTATTATGGCAATTTGTTTGATCCCTAAACTTGTCCCAGCTTTCTTTTTGTTTCCAAAATTGTATTTACTTGCCAATACTAAAATATTTCACAATGGGTTTAATGTAATATTTATTTCCCTTCCATTCCTAACAGATACCCTCAGCTCTGTAGCATTCAACAGGCCTGCTTCACAGAGTTCCATCCTTGGCAATGCGTCGGCAGAGCTAGCCGTGGATGGTAACACCAACGGCTCACTGGCGGCAGGATCTTGCATCCAGACCAACAACGACAATGGCCCTTGGTGGCAGGTAGACCTCGGAGGCGTCTACCAGGTCAAAGAGGTCAGAGTTCACGGGAGGTCAGATAATTGTGGCACAAACCAATGCGGTATGTCATTTTATTCTGATCTTTTTTTGATTGAAATGTTAAGCTATGAAATCAGGGAACTTTTTGGGAATAACATGTTTAACCTCTCTGGGAAAATTTGGGTATTTCAAAAAACGATAGCCAAAAAGTGTAAGTTTTATGCATGGTCATAATAAAATGTTAGTCCAGTTACAAAAAAACAATGTTACAAGTTTTAAAGGTTGCAGACTTTTTGTCCGTTTCAAAAGTGTTTTTTTCAAAATCAGAGCTGGGACATTTTAACTCAACTTTAGATAAGTTACTAGCCTTTGAACACATTTTGCTAATCAGAAATCACTGGGATCATTTTGTCTTTCATAGTAAGATTTGAAGCTTTGCATGGTGGAAGAGACATGTGCTCTGGCCGATAATGTCGAGTTAGCACTCACCGGTTCTTTTAAGAACCACACTTCGCCCAAAAGAGATTGATTCCGTGGTGTACCCGCAAACCTATTTCTCATTTTGTCTTTCATGTTGTATGGATGTCTTATTAGTATGCCTGATTCTCCCTAATGCATAATAAAGCTAAAATTAAAAAACTTCCTAAGATGATTTTATTGAAACTTGTTACTGAATTTTTAATTGTAAATGTATTCAGATTACGGAGTCCTACCTTTTATTGTGCGAGTCGGCATTGATACATCGGTACGTCATGTCACAAGGTTTGGGAATCTTCAAACATCTGGAGAAGGCTCCCAGTTTACTGTTCACGGAAGGGCCCCACAATTTGGCCGATATGTTGCTGTCCAACGCATCCAAAGTGGCTCAAGTCTGTCCCTGTGTGAAGTGGAAGTCACCGTAGGTAAGTGTTAGAGGCATAGTTTTACATCAACAACTTTCCTTGGTTTTGTGCAGTACTACTGGGCTTGATTCTATAGACCTTGTTGACTCTCAACAGATAATGAAATTGAGCTGTGCTGTGATGTAATTTGTTAAATGACCCAGCGACCCTGCCATTCATGTTGCATTTTCCCCAGTATCATGACCAGTGCTTTAGACATTCTACCCTGTAGGTTTCATGGTCTGACCTGAGAGAGGTTAACAGTGGCATGTACACAAACATGTCATCAGAGATTATTGGGTGAATTCCAAGAACTACATAGGGGTGATAGGACCCAAGTCAGTGTTAGAAATCTGGTACCTAGTTGAGTTGATGTTGCTAAATTTCAGATTGAAATTGGAGACGACAATTGACACTTTAAAAAACAATGGGAGGTATGTATTCACGTGTATGCCAGAAGATTTTAAGTAGAAGTTTTAAAACAGCGACAGACAAGTCTTTGAGATAGATATACATGTATAAATGCTAGAGCGTTTGTCTTGAAATTGATACTGAAATCTCACTTTCCCATCTTTTCACAGTGTCTTCCACATATCTCATCAGTGGCTCAGGAGGCAGTGGCAGTTTGACCTTTGACCAGGCCAAGGAGGAATGCAACAAGCAAGGGGCAGAGCTGTCCTCCTTCGATGACCTTTATGATGCCTGGTCCATTGACAAGCTTGACAGTTGCAGCCTGGGCTGGTTGTCAGATGGGTCGGTGCGATGTCCCATCCAGGCTGCCAACAGCTCCTGTGGCTTGTCACAGGAGGCTGGGATATACAACGGTGGCTTGCAGGATAGAAATGAGACTTATGATGCCTACTGCACAAGCCGAGGTTAGTGGTCACTTGAGTAGTTCAGAAACGTTTAACTAACTAATTTCGTCAGCGCACTTACGCCCTAAAAGGGCGTAAGAAACACACTCTCTTTACCTAGTAAAAATTGATAAAATTTACTACAAAATCAACACAGGCTGTGCAAAAAGCAACCTTTGTACAACTTATCAAACGACTTGGAAAATCTTTTTGTCACTATTTGCAAGGAAATCTTTATATTTCATTAAAATAAAACAGATGCATACATGTGTCCTTTTGCCGGGAAAATTGTTTGCAGCGATTATGCTTCCTGGCAAAAGGTCATAAACGCTTATGACCTTCTTCCAGGCACCCGACGATTTGATCGCAACACATACAAAAGATATGTCTGTTTGAAGATATAAGTTGCAGCTCCTTTTTCTCCCACTAGGATTACTCCTTTGAGCTGATGATTTCCTAGACTGTTCGTCTTCATTTTGCAACAGATAACCTTGACCCCAAAAGGCCTTTGAAACTGTTTTTCAGAGAGGGGAAAGCATTGTGTGGATGTGTGCAAGTCCACACGATGCTATCGTACCCTGCATAATGTGGACTTCTTTTGTGCAGAGGTCCACACTATGTACAATGTATAACACACCTGTACACCTATGCATATTTATGCACAATGCCAGTGGTTATGTGAATAGATTTTTGGAATATTGTGAGTCTGATACTTCGGTTGATTTGGGTATAGTTCTTTTAGCAATGAAAAGCAAGAAAGCAGAAATAACAAATGTCACATGACTAGCCAATCAGGATACAGAATCCGAGGATAAGGTGTTAGCATGTACATGTATATTAGCTCCCCAAGATGTTGGAAATTGCTCAACTAGTTCCCAGATAAAAAGTAATCTCTCAACTTCCAGTGCCAAGGGGAGCTAACATCAGCTTTCCACCCAAACTAAACCACGTACGTCATGCTTGTTTTACCGTACCTCATACATATTCAGTTGCACTACAATTTCACTCGCCATTGGAAACACTAATAAACATTTATATACTCATATGAGTTGTCTCTTCATATATAGAGTACTGAAGCGAATACGTCACATGCAAAATTGCATGTGTAAAAGGCATTAGTGCGAGAACCTATGCATGAATCAATAAAAGCACATACGCCATTCATTTGCACTACACTTCCTGGTTCAAATGATGTCTTACTTGGGTGCTCTATAGCTTAGCCCATGAGTATACTTTACCCAGGCAGTAGCTACACAATAGCTTCCTAAAGTGCATGTGTGTATTTTGCTTGTGGCTGGTATGGTAGTACATGAAACATGTGAAAGGAAACATCCCAATGGGATTCCGACAAAACGATCTGAGAGTGCAGTTTTTTCTTGACGTTGTCAGTGTTCATTCGATCATGACTTGTGATTCTCCTTTTCAACTCAGGTCGAGAGGGTCTTCCCCTTGGTCTCATCTCTGGTCTGATCAAGGACTCTCAAATCACTGTCTCCTCCGTGAACCAGACTGGTCTCTGCGACGGTGCTCATGCCCGCCTCTACCACTCCAATCCTGCAGCTGCCTGGGTACCAGCCAAGCACCAACGAGGGGAGTGGATACAGGTTGAGCTAGCAGAACGGGTCACCGTCAAGGCCATCGCGACCTCCGGCCTGCCTTGCTGTGATTCTTGGGTGACCGGCTATTTCATCAAGTACTCGGTGGACGGACAGAACTGGCTGGACTACATGCAGAATGGTACAGTCAAGGTGAGCATCCTCTCAATGTACACCCTATTGAGGGCGCTATTTTCTAATTTTGTGTTTGATTGTCAGCCATGAAAGGGTTCATTATGTGAATTTTACAAGGGAACATGTTTTGTGTGGCTTTCTATGTAGTTCTGCTTAATGTAAGAATACTATTGCACGTCACGTTGATTACACTCAGTGAAATGTGCACGTATGTGCCATAATATGGCACGGGAATGATCGTTTGCCTGTTGATGTCATTGCAATGTGGTGTCTTTACAGTTCATGGTAGCTAACTACGACAGCACCTCAGTGGTGCGCAACACTCTTCCCGAGCCCATTCCAAATGTCCGCTACTTGCGCATCGAGCCACGCACCTGGAACACCAGCATCAGCTTGAGATTGGAGTTATTTGGAGACTACGAACCAGGTATGTGCGGGACAGTTTCTAATTTGATAATACTCGCTTGCGAGAAACAATTTATACCCCAGATTTGATCTACTGCTCTGGCAATGTAACATAAGAGTATTTGGCTTTGTCAGAGGTCACAGGGAAGTCTGTGAGGATTTGGGAGGTTTGAGGAAGGTAGAGCCATGTCTATTGTAGTACTTGGGACGTTATACCCCCTAGGTTTAAGTATAGAAATAAGCTGATTTCCAATTTCCAAGGCTAAATGGCAATGGTACCAAATAAAGGCAGGGTGCATTAGGAGCCTTAATTTATGGATATATGTAATTATAGATGTACTTTAACCACGTGCTGCCGGGTGCTTTTAAAAATGCAGTGCACACATACGGGCAATTTTCAAAATTTTAGTTTTCAAAATTCTTAAAAATTCATCATTTCATTTATACTGTTTGTGTGGGTGAACAGTCATTCACCCACACGAATGACTCTTTGGTGGCCACTCTAAGCTAACAGGTACCTTCATGGACTCCTGAATATTTCAGCCAGGCCTGCCGCCCTGTAAAGAGAGCCCAGAATTGTGAGCTGTTGTGTAATTTCCTTTGTCCCCAGGGAATGCGAATGCCGTCTTTTCAAACACGGCTGGATTAGCGTGTAGCAGAGCCCTGGAGCACTTTTGTCCGCAGTGCTAATGTGCGGGCGTGCTATGCCCAAAACAGTGGTGTACTGTTTAAAAAGAGTGACAGGTTACTTTCGAAAAATGCAAGCCGAAAAATGATGGCAATTTCCAGTAGCAGGTCTTTTGTTCTGAGTACTGTCTTTTGTTACATGGACCAGCTCTTTTGTCCCATTTTGGGCACCCCAGCTCTGCATATAAACCCATGGTGCTCAAAACGGGGTTCCCCGGCAGCAAGTGGTTAATGCATCCAATCCATTATAAAGAATGTCTTAAGTTGGGTAACTAAAGTTAAAAAATCACACAAAATGACTTCTATAACTTAATCAAGTGTTGTAAGAGGAAAAACAATTTTTGAAAACACATTTGATAAATATGGAAAAGCCTTGTTTAATTTGGAAACCATCATGGACAATGAAACACAACGAACAATTCAACATATCTTGATGGAGATCCTACCAACAAACATAAGATAAATAGTGACTCCTTACTGTGGACTGATTGTTGCATCTAGTGAACGGTGGGTGGAGTTCTTGGGGTGCGTGGGGAGCATGCTCAGTGCCCTGTGAGGATGTGGGTACCTGGCAGCGTAGCCGGTCATGTGACAGCCCGCCCCAAGGTCGCAAAGGTCTGCGATGTCGTGAGGACCCTTATCGGGATCGAATTGGTGAGTTAGCACAGCTTTGGGCAATTCACTCTACCCTCTAAGATCTTGCCCATCGCCACCCAGGGGTATAGCCTAAGCCTAACATATACTGATGAGATCAACTGTTGCAGTTGATGTCATGGCCTGATGAACACATGTGATAAATTACTATAGTGTCTTGAGTTGCAGTACTGCTGGATTAATGGTCACTCTTAGTGTTATTATTGGAGAGCAGATCCTGAGAAAATCTTGATTTTGGTTTTGTATGGCTAACCTTTGATTGTAAACTGTGACATACTGTGCTGTGTGGTGTGATATGCATCTGTAAGTCCATGCCCAATGTACAGCCAAACTCCAACCTGGAAGATGCACACAGCATGACAGCCCAGGGTTTGCTCGTCTGGCACTTTCACCTGGAGAAATTCCAGTGTTGTTTTGGCAGAAGAAGGTTGTGCCCTGAGCCTAGCCTGTCTTGCCACCAGACTAAATACCTTTCACTGTCAATAGAAAAAGAAGACCACTTGATATTGTATTCTCAGAATGTATTTTTCTGAGCTTTTGATGCTCTTACCAAAAATTGGCTCAGTTTTCAAATGATGTTATGGGCATGTAATTCAATACCAAACTGATCTTTGAAACTGTTGAATATTTTTCATATCCTGTTTTCTCTGCAGCCGACCCTCTGACATTCTTCAACAGGACCAGCCAGGCCGTGCTGTCGGGCTTCAACACCGAGACCATAGACAAGGTGATATCATCAAAGGCTTGTGCCTTGCTGTGTCTATGGGACCGCCCTAACTGTCAATCATTTGAATATGACCCTGAGACCACTGACTGTATCCTAAGTAACACGTCGGCAACGGTGGAGATGATGGATCTTAGCAGTGATAACGGCACTGATTACTTTGAGCTAGGTATGACAATTTACATTGTGTGGTCTTTTTTTCATCCTCAATCCTTTCGCAAGTCTAGTCACAAGTCCTTTCGTGAGACCATTCACTCGTAAGAAGTGATGAAGGAATATTTTTTTTATCACACTAAATTTTACAGCTTGTGACTTGAATTGTGATGGAGGATTATAAAATCCATTTATCAAAACCGGCAGATTGTTTCATGAAAAGGGTTTCAGACAGTTGGTTTGAAAGATCTCAGTACAGTACACGTAATTGCCTTGACAAAGTGTCCAGTTGCCTGCCCCTTGACTTCATCATCCATAAGTGAGATAAACTTTGAAGGATTCTGTGAAATTCAGGCATAGCCGACAGCGGATTGCTTCAACAGGCGCTGAATCGAATTTGTCATCTCTGTGAGCAGAACTGACCGAGCAAAACGTTAAGGTTTTAGAGATTGGAGGGTTGAATTCAAAGGACGAGTGAATTTTTCAAAAAGTGGTAAAAGTACATGTATTATGCTTTTGACTACAGTTACATTGAAAGAGAATTGATACCTAAAGCACTGTGATAAAAGTACATTGTTGTGGGGTAATCCAAGGAAAATACCGTTACTATGGTAGATTTGAATCAAGTCGGACTTACACTGCTCTTCCCTAGTCAGCCATCCCTTCAGCCTGTATGCACTACACAGTCTTCGCGCGCGGTCTGGCTGCTCGCATAACACTTATAAGGCGCCCTCATCTGATAGCCATTATTGTTCAACATTTGTCATACGTCACCAGTCAGTAATTTCAACTTGACGGATAAGCCAATTGTACGTCCCGTTGGTAATATCTAGTTATTCATAATTGCATATGAATGACATGATCTTTCATTTCATTTCATTTTATATTGGTTTATTAAAATCCATTTTCGCAGTTAAAAAAAACTGAATTACAATGGATTTAACAATCAAAATAAAAAAAGATTAAACAATTAAGATAAGAATTTTTAAAAAAATCAGAATTGAATAATTACAAAAATATTCAACAACATTACCATTACAGTTTACACTCACAAAAAATAAACCATATAACATGACTAATGACCAACACTCATATAAAAACACTACTAAAACACGTCTGCTGCAATTTACACTTCAAAGATGAAATTATTGTGATCTTAAAAATTTCAGTCACATGCAACCTTTAAAATTTCACTCCCATGTTAAAAAAAATTTGTAATAGAGTGTATTTCTTAAGAGGAGCACAATCCAAATATTTCTACTAAGATAAGATCTTGCATAATGTATACGGAATTTCCACCAATCAAAGTAGTCAGACTTGTAGATTCGTTCATTATAATGCAAGTAAGAATGAAATAAAAACAAGTCCAGGAATGTGATTGGCTGCTACCTGTTTTGGAAGATGAGCCCATTCGCTGTGTACTAACGGTTGGCAGATTCGTCAAGTTGGGATTGCTGAACTGAACTCATAGTGAAATCCCATCTGAACTCATAGTAATAAGTGGACACAAGAGGGCGCAAAGCAAGTAATGACGCGTGGTCTCGAAATGTATCTAAAGCAGAAACGAAGACGTCACAGAGATCCAGACTTGAGTCAAGTGTATTACTATGATGGAACCACACTCACACATAAGCCTGTCAATTTTAGTGCACTCATTGGCAGTTCATCCAGTCAGAACATCATATTGATGATGAGAAATGCAGTGTGCATGTGCTAGCTGCATGCTGGTATAGTATCATGGAAGAATTGACTTCCAATTCTAATTGCTGGAATATTCTGTAGGTCTAAGATTTAAGTGGCAGGTCATGTGGTGGTGATATTTGGGTGGAATCTTATGGGGGGTTGAATCGTTATGGACAGAATTTTACATCAGGGGATCTGATTTTTTTCAAGAAATATGGTTAGCCTGTGAGATAAAATTCACAAGTTTGCTGATAACTAATAATTTACTTGTTATTAAATTCTTAATTTCATAAATTTCGCTCAAATGGGCTGTATACTGCAAACATTAACTTACAAAATGGTTTAACCGAAGACCAACAGTGTTGCCTCTGGCAGCTGCCATATGACCCACATCTGCCCACGGACTACCAGCAGATCAGGTCGGACTTGGACCCACATCCCCCTCACAAATAGTGCAGACGGCTCAACTATTCAACTGCATAGCTGATTTTGCGTTGCCTTTGATGCATCACAAATTAATGGTCTTTGATTCCACTGGGCACTTTATTGCAGTATACACATCTTGCAATGCACGCAACATCATCAGTAGAGGGCGTGGCTTAACCCCCAAGAGTGGGGTGTATGACATCACCCTGGATGGCAACATCTTCTCGGTCTACTGTGACATGGATCGGGACGGAGGGGGCTGGACCCTCCTTGTTACCTCGGCAACAAGCTATGGCTGGAACAGCAACACAGTGTTAGTAAGGAATGCCAGCCAACCAAGTGTCGATAGCGATTATTCCATCTTGAAGTACGCCGATGCGATCAAGGACGAAGGAACTGGGAGGACGTTCAAGGCAAGTCAATGGACTTACCCACGAACAGCATTGTAGTCAAATGTAACTAGAATACTGACGCAATTCTTCTGTCTTCCAGTCTAAGACTAAGGATAAGACTGTATCATCTAAATACTTTGGCTTTAGATTAAAAGTAGAATTGAACTCATTTGGGCGGAAAACTCATGCAGAAAATGTCCATCTTCTTGCTAAAGGAATTGGGTTGAGTTCCTGTCTTGGCTCTAAGTTGGGAACTTACCCTTGGGACTTGATTCTTGATGTACATGTAGAGTTATAGGCTTCAGTTATCTTTAGAACTCAGCACTGTACTTGGATATCCAACCAACATCAAAATGACAAGCAATCAATGGAAGGTGCAGTTAACACTGAAAGGGTCTTTGCCACTTTCCATTACATCTTGATGCAAGAAATGTGTTCAGTCTTGGGTTCAGATCAGATCTCTAGAGCACTCAATTACCCCCCCCCAAAATTGTAATGGGGGATCGTCTCAATTATTGGCACATTTGAGAATGTTTTAACCAAAACATATCCTGTGCCAATCTGGGGCAACAACTGTCCCTGATGAGAACAATATTAACCCTAACCCTCCTCAATCCTTCACCTGTTGGAGGATTGAGGAGGGTTAGGGTTAATGTACATGTATACATGTTCCAAAATGGGAGTGCTTTTCTATGTGTACATGGCTAACATGGCAGCAGTATTTTTCTCGCAGGAAAATCACTCCAGTTTGTGAATACACGGATTCCTCTGAAGCAGAAGTGCAATGAGCCTTTCGCGAGTTAAATTTGAATAAAATGTGGTATCCTGAGTTATCTGATTCCATATAAATATAACGATTTGAATTCCCCAAACTAAAGACACTGTTGCTGTACCTCGTGATTTGGGGGCAAGCTTTTGCATGGCGACTGCCATCTCTGGAATGGATTGGTTTCTTTGTACCCTGCTTATCCATTGAGAACAGTGTACTGGTGCAAGGCGTCTCTTCTGTAATGAAGCAAAAGCTTGCCACGAATCTCAAGGTATAGCATACATGTCTTTAGTATGGAGAATTCAAATTGTTATGTTGATATGAATTTAAAGAACTCAGTGTACTAGAATTCATTCAAATTTAACTCGCAATTCTAACGGGATCATTCAGACTTTTGAGACATCCCGTTACTTAATGTTTTATAGATAAAGACAAGTACCTTTAGGGGGGCATGTGACCAAGTGGTTAGGGTCAGTGGCTTCCAATCACAGGGTTGGAGGTTCGAATCCAGCTGCTGGCTGTGTGTTGTGGCCCTTGGCAAGCCACTTCATCCCTGCTTGCCTCTCTCTGCCCCGGTGTATGGGTACCAGCATTAGTTGGGGCAGCAACCTGTGATGGACTCGCATCCCATGGGGGGGGGATAGAACTATTCTCAGTCTTTTCATGCCAAAGAAACCGGAGATAAATGACGGCCTGATGAGCCAAATTGGCTCTGATCAGACTTGCTTGCTTGACATGTACTGGTACCTTTGAAGTTGAAACAGAAGTGTCTAGAAATGAAGGATTTTTTGTTGTTATGTGCTGGAGTTTCTATGGGAACTGCTGCATGGTGTGATAAAGAAAAAGGCCACGTTATTGACGTTTTGTACCACTATTTTAATTGGTGATGTGATCCGTGAAAACCCTTCACATTGTGAACTTTCTCATTTTGATGCATATCAACTTCAAATTGAATTAGGCACTATCCTGTTTTCAGAACTGTTCAATTTGTGATTCTAGACAACCTAGAATCATGAATGCAGTTTATCTGAAAACAAGAGTGTGTCCATATTGTTTTGAAATTTATACATGTAAATGACAAATAAGAGCTATTATTTATTCTTGGTGAGTGTTATGAATAAAATCCTGGTGAGGAAGCATACAATTGGACATAAAAAAATCTTGTGGATCTTACACCGCCCTATTAAAGAAATACTCTTGGATCCGCCCCTTCATGTGTTTTTCCAGTGCTTGTTCAGAAGGCTTTGTTTGTTTCAGTGCTGATTTGATTCTTGAATCATCTCGTTATCGTTCGAATTGGCTCATTTTTGTTTTATTGATGACAGTATCGAGTGGAATCTATCACACATGGCCAGTGGGGAGGCATCTATGAAGTCCCATCCACCTACTCCCTTGTCTCGACCTCGCCGCAGCGTGCTAGCCTGGTGCAGATGCTCAGTTCCTGGCAACCCAGCAACACCTCCCTGGACCACATTGTGCCCTGGCTGTCCGACAACTACCCCCGCCTCCTCAGCATTCTCAACTCCACGCTGGACAATGAAGGGAGTTACTGGTATGGCGCCCTCGTGTGTGCTTGCACGAATCGCACCTGGAAGCCCTTCATGAAGGACATGGAGTCGTCACTGTTTGGACCATGCCCTGAGCTGACAACCACACCTCCCAGACTTCAGACAACTGCAGGTTTCCCAGAAACAACATTCTTCAACCAAGAGACAACTTCTTTCACTTTAACCACTGAAGGTCCCGCAACTACAGCCGATGTAACAAACTCCAACAATGCTACAGATAGCACCAATACAACAGGTAGCATCAATGCAACAGGTAGCATCAATGCAACAGGTAGCATCAATGTGACAAACACCACCAATGCAGCAAGTAACACTAATGCAACAAGTGAAGCAAATTCAACCAACACTGGGAACATGGCCGACACTTGCTACTTTGGGACAAAGACAATTTGGTACTGGCTACGGGAAGATAGACAAGGTTAGATAACCACTGATATCATATCTTTGTATTGGATGATAGGTTTGGAAAACTGAATAGCATTTATTGATTAATGGATTCCATGATTATTTTGTTGATTGATCTGTTGATTAGATAGTTGCTTAATTCATTTTGATGTCAGTCAGTTGGTCAATTAATTACTGTAGGTCACTGATCAGTGGATTGCTTGATTTATTTGTGGATTCACAGACAATGTAGGCCTACATTTGTCCAAAATGGGCAAATTGTTAATGTTTATGTGGTAAATAAATTATGATGATTGTGTCTTTAGTCTATTGATATTTCTCCTCAGTTTGACTGGTTGCCATGGTTGCTGTAATTTTAAATTTTTCACATTTGAATTATTGAAAGCTGCTCCCTTGATAAGGGTCTTTAAGTGCAGCACATTTGTATAAAAGGTCATTATTTATGAAAAAAAACTTGAATCAAATTGCATGCAAGGCTATATGGAGTCCCTGTCTGATGGCATAACTACTGGGGGCACGGGAACGCTTCCTCCCAGCAAAAGTCTCCTCATTCCCACTTCCCAGCAGGCCCATCATTTGAAACGTTAAAATCTGTACAATTTATGCTATGCCAAAATCAATTTGCTCTTGGTGTCCCTTGAAGTAATGATGAACACCCCCAGATGCTCATGTTGTTATGCAGCTGGTGTGGTTGAGCAAGGCTCCTGCACACCTTCAACTTGACTGTATTTTGCATTTTTGAGTATAAACACTTCACCTTCACAATTTTGTCACAGCCATTTTTAAATACATGGTTGCCTTTCCTTGTTATTAAGATTGAGTATTTATTTTGCTAACTCCTTTCATATCTCTACTTTCCTCTTGCAGAATACCAGCCATCCCTTGAATGGGACCTGAGCGGGCGATGTTTCTACGATGTGGATCTGCCAGATTGTAGCAGCCCATGTTACGACCGTACCATCCCATCAACCATCGCCTCTCACCAAGGCACCTCTCAATCCCTTCTTCGTTTGGTCGAGGCTAAGAACACCTCCCAGTACACCTGCACGGCCTCACTGTCTAACAACACCATCGTGTTTACTACCCTTGGAGAAACCTGTCTCGTATATCCATCGCTCTGTACACAGGGTTTCACCCTGGTGATGTGGGTACGACTCAACCATTCAGAAAACATTGGGAAACGGTACCTCTTATCCACAGGTGGTGCTGGTGTCTACGACCATGGAATATCCATTACAACAACCAAATTGGCACATATTAGTGATCTCCAGTTATCAGTTGAAGTGGTAGATACGCATATCTGGTCGGTTGCGTCGAGCTCAGCACTGCCAGACTCAGAGTGGTTTTATCTGACGATCGTGTACAGCCCTTCATCAAACCTCACCCTTTACGTGGATGGATATATCATAGCGTCAACCAGCACTGCGGATGGGCAGTATAGTGGTGACCAGGCAGATGGGAACGGTTATGCGGTCTTGGGCGCTGCCGTTCACGATCTCAGCAACACCAGTCTGTATGTTAGTGCTGACATGAGCGAGTTGAAGGTGTTTTTCAGTCAACTCTCTGCTAGAGATGTGGAACTTTTCTATCTAGGTGAGTCAATGCTGTCCATGAGCCTCTTCTGGCTTGTAATAATGATTAATTCACTATTTAGAATGGCTTCCTACATTTATGGACCACCCTTAATTTTTCTCTTCTGAATGTACCACATTTTATCAGTAACCGCTGACTGTTCACTATGGCATTGTTTAGCCAACACAGCAAAAACCCTGTCATCGTGAGGCTGTGTATGGCAAAACTTCTGCTATTTCAACTACAGCAGCTTCTCCCGTTAACGTGAAGTAGATTGTACTCATGACTCTTTATTAATTTGTGAATGCTAATCTGATATCAGAGTACGTGTTGGCAGAGAAAATGACCAATTTTGCTAGATGACTTCAGCTGTCATAATTGACATGAACTCTATCTTGCATGGCATTTTCATGAAACGTTTCATAAATTTGCCCTAACTAAACCAAAATACAGGTAATAAGTAGCTCATTTTGCTACTTGTACTTTCAAAGGGCAACTTTCAGGGGGACCGTGGGGGCCAGTAACCCCCTCCCCAAAAGGAAAACAAAAAAGAGGAGAGGCAATTTGTTAATTTCACATTTCATCCTTCCCAAAGCTTGTAAAAATCCCCAAAAGGTAGCCTCATTCCATGAAAGGCTGTAAAAGGTTACATGAAAAAAAAGGATCCACCCTTGCCTATATAAATCTCCAAGCTCCAAGTAAAGTATGACAGCGAATAAGCCAAATGATTCTCAACCATTCTTCTCTTCTTTTTGTTATTAATCATTTCTGGTAATGACACCAAGGATTCCTCAGAAGTGCCCTAGGCATTGTAGCTCGCAAGCCTGAAGAAACCTGTAGAGAGGAGAAAATGAGACTTTGCAGTTTTAGAGGTGGGAGGAAAATCCCAGAGGAATATTCTGGGTAAAACCCACGGAATCAGGTAGGGACTGACTGAAAAACCAATCTACATGTGGACAGGGCTGGGATTTGAAACCTGGACCACAGAGGTGGAAGGGAGGAAAGAACCACTACGTCAACGTGACTCCACAAAGTACTACAGTACACACCTAGACCGTGCTTGTGGATTTGGAAGGATTTGGCAGTGACAGGGTTAATCATACATGTACATGCTACCGTTAGTATCAGTCCAGTGTTAACACTGTCAAACCAAGTTACTTCTGTTTTGTGTTGTAGGAGTTGAGCCAGGCTTTGAGGGTGACTTGTGTGGTGACTGGTATTGCCCAAGTAAGTACAGAAACAACAAAGCATGTGAAATGTGAAATCTACTCCATGCTACATTTGACAAATCTTGTACTGTGTGAAGGATTAAAATGGCAAGTTGCACTTCAAAAAAAAATCAGGAAAATGTAATGCGAACTTGATCACTGCTTCATAGTTTATAGAGTGTTTTCACATAAACCTTGAATGTAGATATTGCTGGTTATTATAATAAACGAAATACTATTTTGTTGGGAATATGAAATTCTTTAAAATTAAATTATTGATATCAAACTGTGAGTAAATACACTTCGTTGAATTGAAGTACGTGTATTCAGATAGCAGTCCACCGTGTGGAACCAGAGGTTTAAAAACCAATGACAAAATGATTTGGGAAGTAAAGTTATCAACATCAACAAGCTTTAAATATTCCAACTTTTTGTCCCTGTTCTTCTAGTTCATGGCAATTTCTCCAGCTGGGTGGAGAGTGGGCTGTGCAATGTGCACTGTGGAAGTGATGGTACCATCCTACGCACGCGAGCCTGCAACAACCCAGCCCCTCAATATGGTGGTAACGATTGCGATGGTATTACAAAGGAATGGATTGGATGCAGCTCAGACAGCACGTGTGAAAGTATGTTACTGGTTTTCAACAGCTTAAAACATTTGTTTTAACCTTCCTCTGAGTTCTTGGCTGTCCCGTACCTGATCTTTTGTCGTTGTGGCACGTTGGACTTGCGGCAAAAGATGAGGTTGTGGCAAGAAATATTGTACACATTATTGCAGTGACCTAAACAAGTCAACATTGTGGTATTTGGTTGTTTATCAAGTTGCGTTTTTGGGTCAAGTTAATTTTGTCTTCAAGGAGTAAACAAAGTTTTTACACCTTTTCACACTTTTTGTTTTATTTGTTCAATTGTTTCACCATAATAGATGATGAAGACACTGCCCTCGGTGTTCAAGACGGCACCATTACCGATTCTTACCTCTTCGAGTCCAGCTGCAGCGACGACACGACCTGTGCGACCTCGGCCCGCGTGGGTGACCTCAACAGCACCCATTGCTGGATACCAGCCAACAATGATACCAGCGAATGGCTGAGAGTAGGACTCACAGATGGCATCACTCTGCTTTCTGTAGGCACCACTGGGAGGCCGTCCGATGACAGCTATGTGACAGAATACATGATCTCATACAGCAGTGATGGGTTGTCATGGCAGTTTTACCAGGAATTGGATGAAAACAAGGTATGAATACATGTGGAAATTTGCAATTCACTCCTCTCTCTTCCCTTTAAACATTTCCGAGGTGGTTTTCTAATAATCAGTTAGATAATAATCTCCATCCCAGGCTTTCTCTCTAGCATCGATTCTTAAATGTACGTACGCTTGCACTGTTCAAATCAAATCAAAGTACTTCAATATGTATGCTTAATTAGTTGGATGGTCCAGTGGCACTGTTTGACTTGTTATTGAGCTAATAACTTCAAAGTCTATGGGTTAGAAATCTGACCAAGCTTGAGACGGGGCAGAGCTGAGTTGTGGAAAACCGCCAAATGTAAGTACTTTGTATGGTCTGGTCAAAAGATTGCAGACTATTTTGACCGTACGGTTCCTTAGTTACAATACCCTTTTGCCTAGTGCACATGTAAAGTGTGTAATTCCTAGTCTTTCCACCGGCTTGAATTAATTTTCTCTTCATAGTCTAATAGTCTAGTTTGATGGAATCAGTTGCATTAGTTGCATTCAATAACTCCTGCATAATGTTGTGGCTTTCCAGGTTTTCCGTGGTAACTATGACAACCAGAATCTCGTTCGCCAGCATGTGTCAATCAGTACTGAGGTATTCTATGTGATGTTCCATCCTATATCTTGGAACCTCCAGATCTGCATGCGAGTAGAACTTTATGGATACTACAACCCAAGTGAGTAATGATAATCACATAAAGTGAAATTCCGTGGCAGGAGAGACTTTTGCAAAAGTGAAATGGTCCACAATGCAGTACACCAACAGTTAGTCACATAAAACCCCAAAGAACGTTTGGTTGGTACAATTTCTACCATCCTGCAAATTTTTGCTGTTCGTACGACACGATTAAAAAGTATCCACATAGAAATGTTTGAAGTAACGAAACCACCAAGTGCAATTTCTTTCGTACATCACTCAGCAGTTGGCAGTTTTTGAACTGTGAGTAACGTCCATGCTTATTCAAATTCAGCGCTTTGTTAGTAAAATTTTTACTTAATTAACCTGTGTAAAATCCTTTGTCTTGTGTCATAGTAAAGCAGTCAGGCTTTGTAATTTGACCTCAGCTTTATGCTGAAAAGCTTGCCTCAGTGATTTTAGAGTCGACATTGACTTATGGTTGTCGTTAACCCTCAAAGAGCCTGGCTTTTTCGGACCATCTCTGTCACAGCTGGAGGCAATGTCCCTCTAAGAACTTGGCTTTCCCATGCTGGACTTGGTGTGCTGGCAGATATGTAAAGAACTCACATTTTGTATAAATGTGAAGGTTTAAATCAATTCTAATTTTCATGAAATTGTTTAGAACTGCAATTAAAAAGATATTTCTACAAAAACTACTAAAGGCTTGATGCGTGAAAAAATGCATGGTGATGATACCCGGAGAACGTCAAGGAGGAAGGCAGAATCCACCCCTAGGTCTCATGGTTGAAGCAGAAAAAAACCCACAAAAAACTCGGATATCCTCTTTGCACTTGGTCATGGTGCCCAAAATAGCCACTTTGATCAACTGACCACTGTGCAGTAATGCATGAAGGACATTGAGTGACACGAAAAGAACATCTAAACGATGTTAATTCTCAAAATGTACTTGCAGTTTTGTTGCTTATTTCAAAAATTATCTAGACCGAGCTTTATTAAAAAATACGAAAGTACATCATCACATTATCGTAATTTTCGATAAGCCACAGCTTATGTTGATTCTTATGCTGAGTGAAAAAAGTCCCCGTAGCTTATACTCCAGGCAGCTTATACGGTGACATTGGAAGAATAAATTCAGTCACCTATCTCAGTCTCGCACTCAACAATTCGCGTACACTTTGCCTCGAAAATATTACAAAATGTATCCTCCAAAATAGAGAATTATTTGCTTAAACCAAATGTACATAGACTAGCACCACGTGCTGATGATATCGCTATGCATGGCGGCTTGTATCCCATCTAACGTGGGCAAGGTACGCAATACAGACACCAGAACATGTTACCAAAGTGAATTGGATCACACCATTACAGTGTAGGGGTGTACCCTTAGAAAAATTTACCAGCAATTCACGCCTGTTATTATCTCTTGAAAATTAAAATGAATAAAATTCGATAGATCGATAACATCGATATAAAAAAACTGATATATTAGTATCGGCCAAAATACAATATTGACGGTGCCTAGAGCTCATATTGCAAGGGACCATTAAGATGGGATTCAGACCCAATACGGTACTTTCTGTCTCGTTGATTGACCCTATATAACATTTGCTTCACTTGTTTTCAGTTGACGGTGAATGGTCAGACTGGAATGCATGGAGTGAGTGTGACGTCACATGTGGAGGTGGCACTCAATATCGCAACAGGACATGTGAAGGGACAAAGTATGGTGGCAGCACCTGCCCTGGATCTGACCAGGACAGCCAGATATGCAACATTAACTCATGCCCGAGTAAGATTATACTGTTAATGGGAGCAATTCTCAGCAACTGCTGAACAGTCTGTATACATGTAAATGGTACAGAGCTCAAATCAATAGAAGCAAATGCTCGGCATCAAGGGAACAAGGTTAATTTTAATTTTGTAGGAGTGATACACAGCTACCACTTACACATTTTAGAGAACTCAAATCAACAGAAGCATGCACAGCATTGTGGGAAATGGTGGACAATTTGCAACTCCATGACATAGGGATGATACACGGTATACTCGGTCCACACCTTTACCACTGAATCTTACAGCACCCCCCCCCTCCTTCCTTCTTGTCACTTCTCGGGATGCTGTGATCGCTCCAAAAATTGGCTCAGAAGATTCACATCAATCTCCCTCACTGGATATCCAGTGTGCTCAAAGAAACAGTAAAGTACAGCTGTAGCTCAGGAAGTATCCTTAATGATGTTGAGCTGTATACAAGAGATAACTTTGGGGGGGCTGAATGTTTTATTGGGAATCCCCGCCTTCACAGAGGCTGACCGTTTTGTGGAGAGAGATCATTTAAAGAACGCCTGAAATGAATGCGCAATAAAAAAGTTATGTACCTTTGTACATGCTTGTACCTTTCGTCATGTTCATGTAGAAATATTTTTTCACTGAAGTGTTCTGTACATGTAATGTCCTACTTCTTTCTGACACACGAGGGGCACCTGCTGCATTGATACTGGTTATTCCATTCACCATTGGGCTCTCTGTGCTGTCAAATTAATTGTTTGTTAGGCAAGGTCATGGACTCTGTGTACTTCTTCCAACAGTCTGGCAAGTTCTTCTTTGTTTCGGCTAAAGCAGTTGCAAAACTGAAACATTAATGTAAAATAGCTTCACTGTTTTCCCATGAATATGGAAGTATATGTTTTACGTGAGAACCAAAAAGGTTGATATTTTTTAATTGAATCAAAGTCTGATGTTTACCTAACTCCAAAATGTATTCGGGAATCCCGTGTGTCAAACAGGAGGATAATTGGCAATTCTATTGGTTTTAATCCAACTCTAGTTGATGGAAGTTGGGGTTTGTGGGCAACTACCATCAGCTGCAGCATCAGCTGTGGTTCAAATGGCATCTACTACCGCACACGTGAGTGTAATGACCCTTCACCTCAGTATGGAGGGGCCAACTGTACCGGTGACTCCACTGACTGGGAAGCCTGTATTGGAGAAGGATCCTGCCCAGGTAAACATCGCCTCTGAACAAGATTGTTTACTGCAGTTTGTTCTAGAAATGAGAAATTAAGTTTGAAGATGCTTGGGAACAAAATTAAAGTATCATTTTGAGGAATTGGTATGAAATTACAGGGAAGTCTTTACTTCTGCAGTTATCAAAGCTTATTTCAGTAACATTTCACAGGATGTAAGTTTCTTCTCATCTGTGGAAAAAGCTAGTATACCAAAGTTGACCAATCTGATCAGTACTGTTACTTCCTATGGTGATCCATTATCTGTTCTACATTCTTGAGGTGAAGCTGAGGGAAAAATGGAATGTTCGTGTACAGTAGTTCACAGAGGGAAACTAGTTTTATTTGTATGATAGAACACGTCTTAAAATAGTGAAAATAGCAAAAATACATGACAAACTCTCACTCAGTGGACAGTACAAATATTATGATAAAATGTGTCCTGTCTGCAATCTAAACCATGAGACTTGTGTCCTGTACTGTACAGGAAATGAAGACACAGCCCTTGGTGTAGCGGATGGCACCATAGCTGACAGTCACCTGTCTCAGTCTAATTGTTCCACCAATGATGACCATTGTGCCACCTGGGGCCGACTGGACGACAGTGATACCAGCCATTGCTGGATGCCAATGGCTTCCGACCCAGATCCCTGGATGCAGGTAGGTAGCAAAGGCTGAGGCCAAAACAAATGACTATGGCTGTCAGAAATGCATGTGTCTATGAGAAGTGGCTGGCAGTCATTTCCATAGGCCTCTGTGTTATTTGTCAGCTATTGCTAAGCAGTTGAAAAGCTGTTTCAAAGCTGCTTTTGGCTGTGTATGAACCGTAGACTACCAGCATAATTACCCTGTGCCCGTAGTATACATGATTAAATTGTAAGGTATTCTACATTTGATTCATAAATAATCTGAGAAACTGTTAAAATCGTGGCAAAATGCAAACAAAAATACTAGTTTAAAAACTTTGGGAAGGCCAGCTATCTCCAAAGCTCAGGCTGCATCCGAATCTGTTGACTAGAGCTAGGGCTAGGTCTTCGCTCCATTGGAAATGTGTGGAGACACAGAAACAATAGACCTAGCCGTAGCTCTGGAAGCCCGTTTTGGACACGGCCTTAGTCTTAATACAGAAACAGAAATTTGCAAATAGCTTATTTTTTTACTGTTAGCCTATACTATTTGTGCCTTGTTTGTAGGACACTGACTTCATGAATGGGTAGCCAATATTTGGATTGTTGCACTGTCTTTCTTTTTAAACTTTCCTCGTATCAACATTCATTGCTAAATGTCATTTGTTTAATATGCTCTCTATGGACAGGTGAATCTTACAGATAGTGTCACACTGGAAGCTGTTGCCACCCAAGGCAGGCCCTCAGACACCAACTACGTGACCTCTTACTACCTTCAGCTAAGCAACGATGGGATCAGTTGGAGTTATTATGAAGAAGATGGTAGTGCAAAGGTTGGTATTAGATAGTACCTGTGCTCATACATATTCATGATTGGATTTCATATTGTGATTGGTCAAATTTTAATGACTTGTAGAATGAGTGGCGTGAATGTTCCCTTTTAAATTTTGCTATCAATCAATGCCTATGCTTTATGCATGGCATTAAGAACAGCATATCTCAAGATGTACTTTGCCTCAGGGAGGTGTTAATCATACGTCAGTGTAAGGGCAAAACCCATCATTAACCCTAACACTCCTCAGTCCTCCAAGAGGTGAAGGATTGAGGAGGGTTAGGGTTAAAAAGAACGATACAATTCTGCCTTCACTTCAGTGTGCCCATATCCATTTTCATAAATGGAGACAAGGGGGGGCTCAACTCCGGCCTATCGAAACACCCCAAAACCAGCTAAGGTATATTTTTTGTTTTTAAGTATTATAAGAGAAAGGCATTTTTTGGCATTTTTGTTTCCCTTCTCGAAGCCTAACAGGATCCTCAGAAAGACCAGAAAGAAAATATACCCAATTTTGCCTATTTGCATGTTGGTAGGTTTGTCCTCAAGTTGAATATCACCCTGGAGTGCTCTAAATGTCACGATGCATATCTATTTTACACATTTTCTCCACTGCAGCTATTTCAGGGGAACATCGATAATACTGCCACTGTTCGTCATGAGCTGAGTGGTGTATCGTCAGTGACCCTGGTTCGATTCCTGCCCATCTCCTCCAATGGCTCCACCTGCCTGAGGGTCGAGCTGTACGGAACATTCAATCCAAGTAAGACATTTATGCAACACCCAGCAAAACACAACTGAGTCAAATAAAGCCTTCCTTTTACTCACCCTGAGACGGTAATAAGTAACAGTAACATTTCTAAGAACCTCTGGGCACATCTGTTTGACTGTTTGGTAAGTATCTCAGGGCGACCTATTAACAGCAAAACATGAGGGTATCAGTGCCAAAGCTACTTCACAATGATGTAATCATTTTGGCCATGTAGCACATCAGTGGTGGATTTCACAAGACTGAAGGCCTATTTTTTGCACGCAGATCCGGATCTCGATCAGTGATCCCAAGCTGGTTCACTAACACCAGATTCTGCCTGATGAATGGCGCAAACCAGCATTGGGATCACTGATCCAGATCAGTGAGCCATCCATCTCATGCAAAAAAACAATTAAAACAATACAATGTACAGGAAGATGTACACAAAATTAGCCTCAGGGCAAGGCACAATAAGTTTTTATATTTATTGATTTGTTGAATAAAAAGATATAGGTGATTATCTAGGTTGGGTTGGGTAACCAGAAACACGACTATTTTTTGTTTGGCCTAAGATGAAGGTAGATATCGGTGGAAAGAAAATGGCTACTCCCTTGGAATTTTTAGTTGTCAGTGCCATACCGATTATCATAAACATAAGAGAAGTATTGTGATGAGATGTTTCACTTTTTTTTGGAACTTGCAGTTGATGGTGCCTACAGTGAGTGGTCTGCTTGGAGCGAGTGCCCTGTGACGTGTGGTGGAGGCACCCAGACACGAAGCAGGACTTGTGACAACCCAAGTCCAAAGTACGGAGGTGCAAGTTGTTCAGATGCTGCTTCTGAAGGCCAGGAATGTAACACCAACAACTGCCCAAGTAAGTCACTCTTTGTTTTCGGTTTCTCCTCGTTTTCTCTAACTAGACGTCTTGGCCCAAAATATTGTCAGTCTGTTGGGCCCTTAGGAGTTTCCAGAGTTGTTAACTCAAATGGCTGATTCAGGGGCAATATTTTTGACTTACGATTTGTCTTGACTAGGAAAAACAATGGTTTGTGACGTGGCTTGACCAAGTTAACTTGGAGGGATTGACTCAAGACTTTAACAAATGGGACATTTCAGCATTTTCAACTTTCGAAGCAATAAATGAAAACAACATATAGATGAACCCATGATTTCCAATGTGGAAAGGCAAACGTGTTTATTTTCTTTTAGCTAAAAGAAATGTCATATCATGTGTTGGAAAAAAATAGACGGACAGGTCAAACCTGTTTTGCTAGATATCGTGGGTCATATCGTCAATAATATAAGTATTCAAGCAAAGGATCCCCCTGGGAAATGGTTGAAATAGTCTCTGCACTCAAGATCAAAGAGCATGGATGACGAGAATTCACAATATCTTGAACACCAGAGTGTTCGAAGAAAAGAGCAATGGGCGGTGTTGGAGCATGCACACATGTTAATGGTTTACAACCGTGATGGATGTATATACTTCATGATTTAGGGAAAATCGCTGCGAGTTCAGTGCAGTTCACTGCATGTTCACAGTTTGGATCTGCTAATGGTATAAATATTTCGATTGCATTTTTCTTTGGAAATATAACGGCGACAGTTTTACAGCTCTGCTTTTGTGTTCCCAAATGTGAAGGGCTTCGCGTTTGATTCCAAGAGGTGGCACAGATGAATGTTGATGTTAAGTTGGAAAAATGGTTGCTAACAGAGTATTCCATTCATCTGATTTCTATCAGTAATTCTTATGCAGTTATGACATTTACTTAAGCCTAGTTTCCATGGCAATATAAAGAGAGACAGGATGCACAGTTGAACAATGCCCCGACAATATGCACTAATGCTTAATCACTACTCGTGTCAACATTTCATGGATGCAGAAAGTAGACAATGTTCAACCATTGCATGCCATGAAGTTTTGATACCAGAAAACCCCAGTCCAGGTGCCTCTACTCTATGCCAGGATTTGGAGCAGCTTTCTCGTCGGACACTGTATTGACATTTAGGGTATTTGGTTATAGTTAAATGCCAAACCGCAGAAGGGAACCATTGCTATCAATTGTGTGGGGAATGCCTATTATTTTCTCAACACTTTTTTGAAGTTAATTACTAATGCTGAGTTTAATTTTGTGAAGCTATGAAACAATGCTTTCCAGTTTTAACCAATTTCTAAAATTGGTGCACAAATGCCTGAGCTGAGGCACATGCTGATCCTGTGAAGTTTTCTGTAAACCGCGGAACTGAACAGAGTGAGTGACCAATATTGTTCAGATCAGTAGACCTGGAAGATGATATTAAGACAGATGGACTGCCCACCTGTAGTGTTCATCGATTGGGCTGAAATGTCACCTTCCTAGCCTCAAAGATGAACAGTGAAATCCAAAGTGGACGAGATTTTGTTTCCATTAAACCACTGTTGTGACGTCACCCTATTCAGTAAAGTGTTAAAGAATGTACAGTTAAAAGTATATTCTTAAAAAGAATATAACTTCATGTAAAGCATGTACTGTACCTGTGAATGAAAAATAGTTGTGCACCCAGCCGAGGAGTTACTCAATGGCTTAATTGGGACAGGAATGAAGCTTTTATGTACAGCTATATATAGCCAGCAAACGCTGGACAAATAATGGATACATCTCGAAGCATCAGTAAAGCCTTTTGTTCTTTTGTTCAATGTGAACAATGGTGGAGGGAGGGACATAGTTTAAGGTGGACATTCTTTGATTAAGGTGGACATTATTTGATTTAAATTTGAATTGGTGTATTCGAGGACGCGAAGCGTCCGAGCCCATTCGAATCAAAGAATGTCCACTTTTTCATTGTTTTTCCTTAACGTAATTATTTGTAGGTGCTTAAAAGCTTTTTGAAATATGGTGTGGCTCATTGGTGTTGTGGAAAATACACATGAAAATAAAATCATTTGACAAACATATCATTTGACAAGGCTGGTCAAAAAAACATATATTAGCAGGTATAGTACTATGCACTAACTTTGTGACATTTGATTTGAATCATTTCATCATGCATTGCACATATAAATAACAATTTCAAAGAATGAATATGTTGAAAGCAAATTTTGACTTTCAAAACCTGCTTTTTAGCACTATTCTTTACTTTAATTCTTCTATTCTATTTCTATTCACGACAATTCTGAGGTCTAGATTTGTATCAGATTTCACATTTAGTGTGCAGCTGTCAACAAGAGCACAGGAAGTGTTAACTTTAATAGTGAAGCTTGCATGTACAGTTCAATATGTGTGCTGTACAACATACATCAACACATTTGCAAATTCTGAAACAGCAGATCTGAATCTTATACAGTTTTTAATCTTTCCAATCCATAAACATCTGGAACAATTAGGTTTAAAAACACAGCCATCCTAAATCTATGGTAACTAAATTCAAATGTGGCAGTAAACAAAACTTTTGAACCAACCCATGGCAGAATAAAAATACAATGAGAAAATGTTTGCCCTTGGCAACTGAACATGCTGAACAACTTTAAAAGAGCGCCAAACAGTGCCTCTGTTTTGGCTGAAGGTTTTTCAATATTTTCTTGAACCCAGATTTCTTTCTTTTTTTTAAAAAAGATGTATTATAAAAAAATTTAATTTTCTTAAAATAGGAATCATATACTCATGGTATTAAATGCTCAATATTTTGAGAAATACTTTCTTGCCGAAACTTTATTTTCTTAAATGTTTTCTTAAAACAAGATTTAATTCCTTTTTTCCGAGGATTGCTTTCTTATATAAAAAGACGATTTTCTTAAAAGAAGAAACATTTTATTGTAGTATTAATTGCTCAATATTTCCAGAAATATTTTTGCACCAAAAACGTATTTTAAAAACTTTCTTTAAACAAGATAAATTTTGATTTTCAAGAATGGCTTTCTTAAATGAGAAAATAATGTTTGGCAGTGTCGCATTTGCCACCCTACTGCCTCCATGCAGGGGGACACACCCCTCTATAAATGGAGGCCACACACCTCTTGTTACCACAAGTACATGTGATCAGGAGACAAAAGCTCATCAAGCCAAAGATAAAACCTTATGCAGCATCATTTCAGATGAGAGCAGACTGGTGTCTAGTGATGAAATGAAGACTCTATTCCCTCTGTCTCTCATTTCAGTGTTCAGCTCATCATTAAAAGTCACTTCTTTTAATTAGGATGGCCTTAGATTTTCCTCCAGTAATCAAAAAGGCAATTTCTTGATTGAACATTTAGCCTTGGACAATACGTTTTTCCTGAATATTGTTTTGGGTATTGCTACTGTTACCACAATGCCAATTATAGGCAAAATCACCGCCCTTGAAATTATTGTCCTAATGCACGGCTTTTAAATGTTAATATGTAAATTTCAGGTTTTTTTTTAAAGTCATCCGTTTATAGGACCACATTCATTCCTAAATTCTACTCAACACCTATCCCGTTCATTCATCCAAGAAATTAAAGTCAGCCTGCCTAGTTGTTTTGGTCTCTTCCTTGGACTTATAAATCGGACAAATCTTGTTTGTTTCTGTGAAGTGTCAATCCTTTTAATATGCTGTGGTCTGCCATGCCAGTTGACTGGGTCTACATTGGACAACACATTACACCTATCGTAGCTCAGGATAAAATTACATGTACATGTAGTCCCAGGTTCAGCTTTTTGACTGATTGTCAAGTGTTAGATCATAATACCTCTCTCTTTGTCAGCCACTGTCTTAAAAACAAACTGACTACTATATACAATTAAAACCTTCACTTGTTTACCATTTAAGCTTTTATTGTTAATATCTGTCTTGTGAGAACTGTTCCTACCATGTACCTGTGGTGCATGTTACATGTATAGGCAAACTACAGGAGGGAAGTTACCTCATTCCTAATTTACTGTGTACTTTCCAAGTATCCACACACACATATAGTCACTAAAATGTGCCTTTGTCGTTGTCTAGCTTCTGGTTTCAGTATTCACTATTGAGTTTCTTCAGCATCCATTTTGTTGTTGGCATCCATTTTATTTTACAGAAAAATGACCAAAAATGCTGGACTGGCACAATTCTGCCAAAAATACACATAATACAATCACATTAATAAACTGCTAAGTTATGAACAGCTGATGGCATTAGAATTAATGTTTAAATGGTATCAATTACGCTGACAGGCAGTGAAACTAAGTAAATTTACATTCTAGAACTACTGTCATTTGCCTTTAAAAATCCTCAATTCACTAATTTCAGCATGAATTTTACAAATACCCTGAGGGATTAGGGTTAATGATACACTCTTACACCCCAGCATATTTTTGGCTACGTGTAGTTTCTCACTGTTTTCTTTGGTTAGATTCTTTCATCAGATTGGAGGGATTAGATTTGGATAAGATTGGAAGTATTACATTTTCCCAACTTCTTAGTTGTCAATTTCCAGTCCAGAAGATCAGACAAACATGTAAAAGAGCTGGAGACACTGTATGTTCATCAGTTTGGTTTTAGTTCTGACATTGAATATGACTGTTGATTGAGGAAATATCATCAGCAGCAGCACTAAAGCACAAGTTAAGCACATCGTATGTAAACTACAAATGATGACATTCTACATACATGTAAGTACACGTTTTTGCTGCGATCTGGTGATTCACAATGCTGGTATATATGCAAGTGGCATCATACCTCAGAAATACATGTACCCGTGTACATTGCTACCAGGGATTGTTCTTGGATAATTTCTGTCTGAGCACAATACGTGTTCATATCTTTCTGTACATGTAGCTTGTTAAGGTTTGTGTCAGAAAGTACCCTCACACCTTTCAAGATAGATATTTATTACCTACAAGAGGAATAGAGGTATTTCATATCTTCATCGAAATGGGTGGCATATTTCACAAATGTACAAATTTGCAAAGTTGATAAATTATTCTACAATAATTTGAACATGCAGTTGCTACCTGTATATATCATTTGGTCTAATTTGTTACAAGTTGGAAAGGCGAAGTAGGATTTTAAAGAACAAGTCTGAAAAGTTGGATTTGAAATAAAGATTTCAGGCTTTCAGGGTCATTTTATATAAATATAATAAATATAAATATAACATTTTTATAAATATGGGAATATGAAGAAATAAGATAGGAATTAAATACTTTGTTCCATAAAACATCATGGGTCTACCGGTAAATAATTTCATTACAGCATTTGTGTTCAAACTTTATTTACCTGAATGTAAGATTACCCAAATTACAGCGTTGTCTATCAGGACTTACATGTACTGGTACGTGAAACACTTTTGATTCTTTTTATCAATCATTTCCTGAACATGAGTTTATGTCGTGACATGTGTTGAAATTGATGGTTCAAATTGAAAACGTCAACTGGGGTTCATATCGCTTGCAGATAACATGAGCTAAAGCTCCACATTTAACATCATTCCAGGTACCATCTTTTGTTGCCACTGCACAGTTTTCGGCATTCCCGTTGTTACTGGGTTCCCCATTCCTCCAGTTTCTAAACTCCACTCCAGTAGTGTCATCCTGACACATCCATGAACCTGACATACATAAGTTGATAAAAAATAGTCCTGTACTGTGTTTTTTAAACTGTTTTGATCGATATATTTTATTTAAAAAATAAGCAAATGGCAGTTGATTGTTTTGTCTAGGAGCGTCCAAATTGTACTTGGACATACCTTCAACTTGAATGTCATTACAGTTGATCCAGAAGAAGTTGATGAAGTTGTTCAGGAGGAACTCAGTTTCCTCCTGAGACTGTGGCATAACCAAGACACTTCCCATCTTGATGCACTCCTCTTTGGCCTCAGCCCAGGGTAGATTCACTGGGAGTTTCCTGTAGCATTTGCCACCCCACTGGCTCCAATCAGGAGGACACGCCCCTCTTATGGAGGCCACACACCTCTCATTACCACCAGTGCATCTGGCCATAAGACAAATGTTCATCAAGCCAAAGATGAAACCTTCAGGCAACATCATTTTCAGATGCCAGCAGACTGGTGTCAACAAATGAAATGAACACACTTTTCCCTCCTCCCATCTCAGTGTTGAAGTCATCACTGGAAATAGTCCTTTTCATTGGATGACCTTGCCATGAATTCTGCACCAGCGAACTCAAAGAAAATTTCTTAGTTGTCTATAGACTCTTTGAAGCTACGCCTCTTGTTCTTACTTAATATTGGTTTCCATTGCCAATTTGCCAAGGTTGCCATGAAATACACTTGTGGGTAGCACAGTCAATACAAAATGGCTTGCAATCAACAGGAGACTAATCAATTGTCATTTGTCAGGAAAATGCAGCGTCCCTCACAGTTGGTGGTACAATATGAACGTATCAATCTGCCTTGGTGCTTCTTTATTATGAGTTGGTTATTGTGTAGTCTTCCTCAAGAAATGCCATATTCATTGCTGGGCTCTACCTTCCACATATTTAATTAAAGTTAATTAACATATTCAATAATTAAAGTCAACCTGTGCACCATATGTACAGTGTCCCAGCTTAACCTCTTGCACCTTGAGGGGAAGGGGGCAGGGCATAGATGGCTAGGTTATACCACATTCAGGAAGTAAAGCAATCCTTAGGTACATCTTACCAGAGGTTAGTTTGGCATTTTCTTGCCAACTCCTTATTACAGTTCCTAGCCGCATTGTTTTAAAGGTAGAATAAAGTGAGCGTATGAGATTGATCATACTTGTATTTCTAGTTACCCTCCTACATGCTATTTTAAATGTGTAATGTCATATAGAAGAGAATATTGCCAAATGAAAGGCCCTTCCCATGAACGTAGTTAATGCACTATTTATCACCTTCTTATTGTGTTATTAGTAGTTAAGCCCCATCAGTTTCAACCCTGTTGGAAAGACTAGTCAGCTGTAATTGTTTATTACAAGGTTCAGCTATTCCTTTAGCAATGAGTAGAATACATGTACTACTGGTAGTAAACTTAGCCTGTGACCGGGCCTAAAGCAGTTTGTTGACAATAAAGCTCAGCAGCGATAGTCAAAGCAACAGGCGAAAAGTGTCCACTGATCCATTCCATCCTCTATGGCCAAACAGCATTCTGATTGCCGTGGTAAATCCCATTGAGCAGAACCAAAAAGCAGTTATCTAACATTATGGAGATTATCTCTCCACAGCGCATCATCAAACTGAAATGAAGTCTTCAGGTTTGAAAATGTAACATTCTAAGCTTCAGTTTGATACCCAAAACAGCAATTTATGAAATTATTTTGGAAGAAAATAAATGTTATTTGGGGGTTGTAATTTTTTTGGAGGGGGACACATTGCACAAGCTTGTTTGTTTTATTTTATTGCTGATATGACATCTGCTATCTCTCAAGAATAATTCCCACAGTGGATCTGCCCTGTGGCACATGATATCAGCTATCCTATTAGTTGCATTGCCCCCACAGGAGTCAGGAGGGGGTGGAGCAGATTTCTACAAGGGGGAAATCTCCTCTGGGGACAAAATAAAAAGCAAACAGAAAAAAAGATAGATGGAAGGGAATGACACTCCCACACATGCCAAGACTGCACGGAAATGGGTAGCACATGCATGTGTTTGACCGCCCCTCCTTTCCAAGAGAGACTACATGTATTCCATACATACATGTACAATACATGTACACATTCAGTCACTAGGATATGTTTGCAACTTATATGCATAGCAAGCAGGAATAGTTCTTTGGTAACTGGGATGCTCTGTTGATGTCACAGAGTGGCTTCTAAAATTACGGTTGCCCATAGGTAAAAGTAAAAGAATAATTCACTAACTGCTGAAATTTCCACATAGCTATCAGAACACTAGGTAATAATACATGTGTGGCTAAATTCTAAAAAAAAAAGGGAAAATACAACTCTTTGTAAAATCAATGAGACAAATGTCCCTTTTTAAACAAATAAGAGGTAAAATCAAAAGCCAACCGAAAGGTGGTATTTCTGTAAACTTTGGCCGCCTATACAAGTTGTAGGCAAAATGAGAGGGTCAGTCAGAGCACATTATGGTATGTCTGCAGCTTATTTAGATCTTTGCGACTGCCTATTATGATACCTCAAAAATCTACATATAGGCGTATATGAACACAGAATTGTTGATTTCTACAAAGGGAACACATCTAGCCTAAATTATTATTCATTAAATACCTAAGACAGTGTAGCCATTTCTGTTGGTTGAGAGCCTCGACCAAATATAGGAGCTTACCTTTATGATGCAAATGAGCATCTTTTATTCGGATGTAAAATTATTCAGATTAAGGCTTGATGCCATTATATGCAACCCCAAATCTGGTTCCTATACAACCAAGCCAGGATATAGTTAAATTTACCAAACTTGGATTTGATATGTGGTTGATTAATATAGGTTTGGTTCATATCATCTTGGTGAAACTCCACAATAACTTACTGTATACTTTGAAAATGATGGAGTGAAACGTGAAATAAATACAAAGTGCCAAAGCAGGTTAGTGTTTACATTCTAGTTGTAAATACTCAGTTTTGAGATTTTTAAGCATACCCTAAACATGAATTACACAAAGTGCTATCTTTTAACTGGCATTCTATGAACATGGTTTTACATGTATTACAAGCATGATTAACTTGTTTCCTTAAATCAGAAGCAGCAGCCGAGGTACACATCGTTGGCAGATAGCAGGAACTAGATTACCACATGAAACATCATTCCATCCACCTTTGTCTATTACCACTGCACAGTCTTCACCCTTTCCATCATTACTGGGTTCACCAGCCCTCCAGCTTCTAAACGTCACATCAAAAGTGCCATCCTGACACTCCCACGAATCTAGCATATGTGAAGAAAAACTTATTTTATGTATTTCATTTTTAAAAAGAGGGAAGTACCAGTAACTACTGAATAGGCTGTTTTTTCAGTTACAACCTAGGAGCATGCTATGATATGTGTGCTGCATGCTACGTACCTTCAGCTTGAATATCATTACAGTTGATCCAGAAGTAGCGGTGCAGATTCTCCAGAAGGAACTCAGTTTCCTCCTGAGACTGTGGCATAACCAAGACACTTCCCATCTTGATGCACTCCTCTTTGGCCTCAGCCCAGGGTAGATTCACTGGGAGTTTTCTGTAGCATTTGTCACCCCACTGGCTCCAATCAGGAGGACACGCCCCTCTAATGGAGGCTACACACCTCTCATTACCACCAGTGCATCTGATCATAAGACAAAGGTTCATCAAGCCAAAGATGAAACCTTTAGGCAGCATCATTTTGAGATGCCAGCAGACTGGTGTCTAGTGATGAAATGAAGACACTGTTCCCTCCTCCTGTCTCAGTGTTGAAGTCATCATTGGAAATAGTCCTTTTCATTGGATGACCTTGCCATGAATTCTGCTCCAGCGAACTCAAAGAAAATTTCTCAGTTGTCTATAGACTCTTTGAAGCCAATTTGCCAAGGTTGCCATGAAATACACTTGTGGGTAGCACAGTCAATACAAAGTGGCTTGCAATCAACAGGAGACTAATCAATTGTCATTTGTCAGGAAAATGCAGCGTTCCTCACAGTTTGTGTTACAGTGTGAACGTATCAGTCCGCCCCGGGGCTTCTGTTTTACGAGTTTGTTATTGTGAAGTCATCCTCAAGAAATGCCATATTCATTGTTGGTCTCTACCTTTCCACATATTTAGCGTAGGAATTAAAGTCAACCTGTGCACCATATGTACAGTGTCCCAGCTTTACCTCTTGTACCTTGAGGGGTAAGGGGCAGGACATACATGGCTAGGTTATACTACATTCAAGAAGTAAAGCAATCCTTTGGTACATCTTACCACAGGTTAGTTTGGCATTTTCTTGCCAACTCCTTCTTGCAGTTCCTAGCCTTATTGTTTAGACCATCCTTTGGTAGGATAAAGTGAGCGTATGAGATCGATCATACTTGTATTTCTAGTGATCCTCCTGCGTGCTATTTTAAATGTGTAATGTCATGTAGAAGAGAATATTGCCAAATGAAAAGCCCCTTCCCATGATCCTAGTTAATGCACTATCTATAACCTTGTTATTGTGTTTTTAGTTGTTAAGCCCTGTCAGTTTCAACCCTGTTGGAAAGACTAGTCAGCTGTAATTGTTTATTACAAGGTTCAGCTATTCCTTTAGCAATGAGTAGAATACATGTACTACTGGTAGTAAACTGAGCCTGTGACCGGGCCTAAAGCAGTTTGTTGACAATAAAGCTCAGCAGCGATAGTCAAGGCAACAGGCAAAAAGTGTCCACTGATCCATTCCATCCTCTATGGCCAAATAGCATTCTGATTGCTGTGGTAAATCCCATTGAGCAGAACCAAAAAGCAGTTATCTAACATTATGGAGATTATANTCATGTTTTTCCTACAAGTGGCTTCTAAAATTACGGTTGCCCATCGGTAAAAGTAAAAGAATAATTCACCAACTGCTGAAATGTCCACAAAGCTATCAGAACACCAGATAATAATACATGTGTGGCTAAATTCTACAAGAAAATGGAAAATACAACTCTTTGTAAAATTGATGAGACAAATGCCCCTTTTAAAACAAATTAGAGGTAAAATCAAAAGCCAACCGAAAGGTGGTATTTCTGTAAACTTTGGCCACCAATACAAGTTGTAGGCAAAATGAGAGGGTCAGTCAGAGCACATTATGGTATGTCTGCAGCTTATTTAGATCTTTGCGACTGCCTATTATGATGCCTCAAAAATCTACATATAGGTGTATATGAATACAGAATTGTGGATTTCTACAAAGGGAACACATCTAGCCTAAATTATTATTCATTAAATACCTAAGACAGTGTAGCCATTTTTGTTGGTTGAGAGCCTTGACCAAATATAGGAGCTTACCTTTATGATGCAAATGAGCATCTTTTATTCGGATGTAAAATTATTCATATTAAGGCTTGATGCTATTATACGTAACCCCAAATCTGGTTCCTATACAACCAAGCCAGGATATAGTTAAATTTACCAAACTTGGATTTGATATGTGGTTGATTAATATAGGTTTGGTTCATATCATCTTGGTGAAACTCCACAATAACTTACTGTGTACTTTGAAAATGATGGAGTGAAACGTGAAATAAATACAAAGTGCCAAAGCAGGTTAGTGTTTACATTCTAGTTGTAAATACTCAATTTTGAGATTTTTAAGCAGTGCTATCTTTTAACTGGCATTCTATGAACATGGTTTTACATGTATTACAAGCATGTTTAACTTGTTTCCTTAAATCAAAAGCAGCAGCCGAGGTACACATCGTTGGCAGATAGCAGGAACTAGATTACCACATGAAACATCAATCCATCCACCTTTGTCTATTACCACTGCACAGTCTTCACCCTTTCCATCATTACTGGGTTCACCAGCCCTCCAGCTTCTAAACGTCACATCAAAAGTGCCATCCTGACACTCCCACGAATCTAGCATATGTGAAGAAAAACTTATTTTATGTATTTCATGTAAAAAAGAGGGAACTACCAGTAACTACTGAATAGGCTTTTTTAAGTTACAACCTAGGAGCATGCCATGGTATGTGTGCTGCATGCTACGTACCTTCAACTTGAAGATCATTGCAGTTGATCCAGAAGTAGTGATGTAGATTCTTCAGAAGGAACTCAGTTTCCTCCTGAGACTGTGGCATGACCAAGACACTTCCCATCTTGAGGCACTCCTCTTTGGCCTCAGCCCAGGGTAGTTTCACTGGGTGTTTTCTGTAGCATTTGTCACCCCACTGTCTCCAATCAGGAGGACACGCCCCTCTAATGGAGGCTACACACCTCTCATTACCACCAGTGCATCTGACCATAAGACAAAGGTTCATCAAGCCAAAGATGAAACCTTTAGGCAGCATCATTTTCAGATGCCCCCAATGGTAAAATGAAGACGGTCTTCTCTACTGATACACACCCTTGTGATTCCAGTACAGACTATACAGGACACCAGTCCACAGTCCATACAAATATGTGTAACACCATCCACTCACTTTTGTTTATCTCTCTGTTTGTGTGCTGTCACCTATATTTAGATTCTGTAATAAAAATGTCATGGTTACCATAAATATCATATCTGCACAATTTCAGAGCAGTTCTCTCCTGCGGTAAAATAAAATGTAGCCTTCCAAAGGGTAATCAGTGGAGATGCATATAAAAGAAAATCATCACATCCTTGAAAAATGTGAATAGCTTATATGTTGGAGTACAAAGTCTTTCTGCAAATGACAGGGAAAAAGCATTGTAGCCTGAAAAATATTAAAAAATGGTATTTGTTTTAATCATTAGATGGACCAATTTTACCTTCTGTTTGATGGATTCTAAAATTGGAATTCAAAACCAGGTACCTTCCGGATACAAATTTGAGGTTAATGTTTTACTCAATGAAAATGACAAAAGAAACATGGCATTTGTTTAGATATTCTATTTACCTTATTGAGTAAGCCTCATTCATCAAGTGAAGGAATTATTGGTGGCTTTTAGATGCAGTTTCATGAAAAAAGGGAAGATTTTTAAAACTTCAGTTTGGTAAGTCTTCAAAACAAGTTCACTTACTCGGGTGTAATATCCAATGAAAGAGAGCAACAAGGCCTTTCATTGTGAGAAGTGAGCCAGTGAGGTGGAATAGAGTGAGTGAGTTACAGTGAGTGACTAGAAGATGACTAATCAGACACTAGGCATTTCATTCACTTCAAGCATCACAGTTAGTTTATTGGGTGAAACCAACAAAGCAGAACATGAACCTAAACATAGCTAGAGTACATTAATACCCGATTGCTACGTGTTATTTATTCAGAGTTTATTTGAATGAAAGAAGAGAGTAAGTTTAAATTGTGACTGGTTAATGGTTGATGTAGTTGTCTTCTTTCCAGTACCCTTTTTTGCCTGTTAAATTTCTACCGAAGTAATAGAATATCTTAATATCAACTTGATATACGTAGGAATTCCCCTTTCACCGACCCTCAACTTGAAAGTGATAGACTTTATTCTGAAAGAACTCAATGTCCTCCAACTATGGAATTATCAACACACTTCCTTTGTTGAGGCATTTCTGCTTGGCCTGATCCCAAGTGAGACTTAAGATGACTTTTTATAGCATTTGTCACCTACCAGCTCCAATCACAAGGACATGGAATGTTCCACTTCATTGCCATGGTTAACAAATAATTCATATATGCAGCAAACAAGGAAGGAATACTATCTTACCATTTGTCTGTCAACATAAACAGCCTTCCTTGTGGATCATGATGGGAACGTACAATAACCCCAGGACTTGTATTTTGATGCAAGCCTCATTTTGGTGTTTTTGATTATCATCAATTCAGGAGATACCAACTTTATTGTAAGATCCTACTCAATGATTTCAAGGCTACCTTTCACAATAGAGGAAAGCCAGTCTGCTTATTTGTTGTCTTTTCTGCAAACTTTGGAATCAAACTATTTTGCTTCAGTAGAAAAGTTATGCTATAGGGTTCCACAGTATCCATACCAGTTGCCCATGAGCATACTGAACACAACTGAGGATAAAAAGTATGACAATTTCCAGTTTGACTTATAGGGTGAATTGTAAGATACATATAGACTAATCCAATTAGACGCCCTAACTGCGGAGGCACCGCACTCACACGCACATTCTTCAGCTTAACGCGCGCATACACTTGGCAAATCACGACACCCTATTGGTCGAAGAGGCATGTAACGTGTGCGTGTCACCTGTCCACGGGCCATGTACCACCACAGTAATGGCTTCTAATTCTGGTGATCGAAATACGGTGTAGGTCCACTTTCATTTTAGTGACAGGAAAATCTTTCCCAACTATTAGCAGGAGGTAACTTACAACAATACATTTACATGTAATTTTTTACTCACAATTTCAGTTTATATTTGTTGAAAATTTCAGCATTACATTCCATTGGCATTATTTGCATAATGTAATAAATACTATTTCATCGTTCCCATGGCACCTACAGTCCTAAAACTGTCATTCATCTAGACAATGGCAGACCATACTGCTATGTATGGCAGTAACCAAACCATGGGAGTTTTGCAGCAATTTCTGACCATGGTTTGACCAAATGTGCTTATTATGTTATGAGGGATTTGTAATAAGCAATGCAAGTTACGTCATGGATCAACCCATAGCTAAATAATGTATCTTTAATACGCCAACTAGGCATCTTTTTAGTGCATCACTGGATTGAATGTCAAATGTGCAATACACTATGGGGAAAGTGAACCAGTCAAACATTAATCAGTTTTTCATAAACACCTCAGACAGTTTCTTATCAACAATGTGCAACTTGACCCTGTATTAACATTTGATAATGCCTGCTTAGAAGTGCACTGGCATCTGGATACGAGACAGTTTAATCGATTCTGATTGGTCAGGAGTCTTTGTGCACGTGGCTCGCCATGCACTTGCCAAGTCCATATAAGTTGATTCTTTTAGACAATTTGCACAAGGAATATACATGGACCATAAAATGGTCAAGGGTGCTAGGGAATGTGAAAAAAAAATTCTCAAACAAAATTGTTGGAAATCCATTATATATTGACATCTTTTGACTCTTTGACGAAAAAGGTATTTATGAATGGGAATAAGTATGTGCTTGGCCGGATACTGAGCGCTTATCATGCCCTTGCCTGTGGCTGGGGTATTAGTCATGCCCATTCTCCTGAGCTGGTAAGACCAACCCAACACACATTTATTCCCTTATTAACCTAATAAATATTTGTTACCTTATTTTATTGCAACTGTGGTGCAATTAGAGAAATTAGTCTTACACACATCACAGTGTTAGCTAAATGCCATTCCATGCCTCACCTTTTGCCAAAAGGAACTTTGTCCAATTTTTGAAGTTGAGAGGTTGTACCACATAGGCAGATGTTGAAGAGTTATTTTAGAATCTCTAAGATTATTAATGTGCTAAAGGCAGTTCCTATAGTACTTTACTCAAAGTTTTGGATACTTACCTTCTCTTGTTTTGTTTGAAAAGTTATCATTCGGTATTCTTTTTTTTTTCATTTAAAAGTTGATGAGTGGTGCAGTATGTTGGCAGACTGTAGCATGCTTTTCTTGGCATGGTACATCATTCCAATCACCTGATGCTTGTAACAATGCACAGTCTTGGTCAGGGCCATTGCTAGGTTGATTTTTATTCCAGTTTGTGTACTTGACATCAGAAGAGCCATCCTGGCACTCCCATGAACCTAACATAAAGGCAATACCACAGCTGAAAGTCTGTACCTGTCGTATTTTATGAAAGAATAATTCT